TTTATAGACCTATCCATACCCCACACGTAAAGATTTGATAAAAAAAAATCTAAGTCCATTCGTTTTTTTTTCTATTTTTGTATGAATATCGTTTTTTTGCCATTTGGCTACGGAACCCTAAAAATGGTGAGCAAAATAACTAATTGGTCTGCGTTTTTGTTGAAAATTCGACAATATACGTTACGGCCGTCTACGTCTGTTAGAAATTCCCGTCTAAACGGGCATTGATAATATTGGGAAATTATTAAGCTAATAATAATACGCTAATTTCAAGAACCTTACTAATTGCCTGATAACTTTTTGATTTGATCTCATGTATAATTATAACAATAAAACATTTTGTTACTATTTAATTTTAAACTCATTGTATCAGAAGTTGCTTTTTTTTATTTCGATCTCGATTATAATTTTATTATAATAATAAATACTTAAGCTTGAGCATCTACTGAGGTAGTGTACCAAGTTAATTCGTTTACATTTTTGATTATTTAACTCAATAAAAATTTATAAGAATTAAAATTGTTTTTTATTAATTTTCACTTTTATAAATAATACATACCCAAACCAAACAAACACATCCACTCAGACAGTAAATAAAATTTTTGTAAGGATGGCGCCCAGTTTGAGCATGACAAGTACAGAATTCCATTTTCCACTGCAATGGAAATAGTGGGACAAATGTTTCCTCCAAATTATTACTTATTTCTATTGCGGTTAAAAAACGCAGTTGTCTTATTTTTAACCCGGCGTTCGCACAGTTGGGTCTATTTGACCCGAGCAGTTTTCAAATGAGCGTGTTTCTTAAAATGTTTGTGCGACTTTGCCAAACTTCTCAGTAGCTGGAGCTAACGGTCCCCCCCTCCACGTGGGATTTGCCAATCAGTCGTGTTGCGGCCGCAGCGAGTGATAGACACGGCCAAACATAGACCGGGAGATGATGACACAAAATACTTGGTCATTTGTACCAGTATGGCGGTTCTTCAGGGGTCTAATTACGTAAAGGCAAAAAGGAAAATGATGGTCATAGCGCTCGCACCGGCGGCCCAATCGCGTGGGCGTTAATCGAACGCGTCGGATAAATAACGAGTGTCGAACGATTTGTTCCACAAAAATGCTTATATTTTCAGATAGTCGAAAAAAAGAAGTAGGCGGTAGCATAATGCCATACTTCTCGGGTGTGACTTACAGCCCGCCATACCGACGCGAATACATTAATTTAAATAAAACAATTCAACCATTTGTACCAGGCTAATTTTTGCACAGCTAATCATCGTCGAGTAGCCATTCACGAAAATCACCTTGCCATACTTTTCCGACAGTTCCCAATGGCCGCCATACCGCTGCAAAGGAGTATTTTTTTTTTTCGCCAAACGATTTGTACCACCCTGAAATTTTTTTTAACAGTTCCCCGTATGATCATAAATAGAAGTCTGATAATGCCATACCTGTGGGAGGTGGCGAATGTGAACAATATTTTTTCAAAGTCCCAAGATTTTATTCGTAATTCGAACGATTTGTACCAGTATGGCGCCACTTTTTCCCTCTACTACAAGTATGGCAAATATAATAATGGTCACATTGTATCGTATAATTTCCAAAAATCCAAATGCCATACTGGTACAAATCGTCAAATTTTTTTTTTCTTTTTCACCTTTTAGCTCAAGTCCGACAGTCATCCGCCCCATGTTTACAATCTGTAATAATTTTTTTTACGTACAATTGCATCCAAATGACGAGAATACAATGATGTCAAAATATAAGCATTTTTGTGGAACAAATCGTTCGACACTCGTTATTTATCCGACGCGTTCGATTAACGCCCACGCGATTGGGCCGCCGGTGCGAGCGCTATGACCATCATTTTCCTTTTTGCCTTTACGTAATTAGACCCCTGAAGAACCGCCATACTGGTACAAATGACCAAGTATTTTGTGTCATCATCTCCCGGTCTAACACGAAAAAGGTAAATATGACCCAACCATACTATTCGTGTCGTAATTTTGCGCCGTTTAAAAAAATGTTTTATTGTTGTTTTATATTGTTTATTTTGTTATTTTTGGCAAATATGTCTGAAATAAATGCGTACATATTACATAACGCCAATTTCTAAAGAAACTTAAGCCTTATACTGGTTCGTGAGCATTTGCGCAATCGTAAAGATGTCATTCAGTTGCTAAGACTTATACGCAAAAGAATAAGAGAGTTTTTAGGAGTAGGTACCTGATGAGGAGCCACCTGTGAAGATACTTTATGTAAGAAAGAGATGCCAAGACTGTTCTGCCAAAAAAGATAGAAAACTAATAATTTTCGGAGCTGTATATGCAAATACATCTGCAGTGACCATGCAATGTTGTACTGCCGAGATTACGCAGATGATAAGGATACTATGACTGACGTATGAGACTGATACAAATAGTATAATATTATTAGTTTACTAAAGATTTGATTAACACGTAACAAATTAGTTTATGTTATATAAAAAAAAATGTTTTGTTAAAATTTTATTACTTTAAGACAGAGGTTGTCCATTTTGTTAATATTTTGTGACACTTTTATGAAAATGACATTAAAAAGATAGTTTCGTATCATGTTGTGTTTTTTTCTACTCAAAACCTATAACGATAATCGTTTTATACAGATAGTACAACCACATACCAAATTTATTTTAACTTTTGTAATTATGGCGTTTTCTTATACGGGTCCTCTCGACCCAACCCTACTGTCGTTGATGCATATTTTGACTGTGCTGACGCCGGGTTAAATAAATTTCTAAGGAGATATTGAGAATTTAATCTATAGAATAAAATAAAAACATAACTTCTCGTTAATTATAAAAAATAAATAGAGAAAAAATTATGCATCTTCCATTTCTACTACTCGTGGTGACCTACACGAATGATTTTCTGATAGATTTTTATTCCCTTCTCATCGTATTTATTCCTTATATTTAGCCTTTGTTTTTAGTTCATCCTTTCAATCACGTAGTAACAAAATATGTAAGCCCAGTGCATGATCTGCGTAGATACATAATCATTGACGTGTTCAGATATTATTGAAAAGTTGTATGTTCAGATATTATTGACAGGCATCTGCTCAGATATTATTGAAGTAATGAATGTTCAGATATTTATGGTCACTTGTAGCGTATAGAACTTAATGACATTTTAACTGTTCAGATGTATTTGGTCACCTTGTATGCTCAGATATATCTGATGGCGACTGTACGAACTCATATTAATTATAGTTAATTTATGGTATGAACTAATACGTAAGCAAGCTGCTTGAATTTATTTGTGCATGACACATGACAGAGGTGATAAGAATAAAAACTGGAAAGTGTTTAACTGCCAGCGTCATCTTATTATAAATAAATAATTAAGAGGTCCTATTAAAATTGTTCAGATATTTTTGAAAAGTTGTATGTTCAGATATTATTGACAGGCATCTGCTCAGATATTATTGAAGTAATGAATGATCAGATATTAATGGTCACTTGTAGTGTATAGAACTTATTGACATTTTAACTGTTCAGATGTATTTGGTCATCTTGTATGCTCAGATATATCTGATGGCGACTGTACCTATAGAATCTTATTACAATGGGTCATTAAGACACAGAACTACATAAATAAACAGGATTCAGAACAATAAATATCAAAATAGGCCGAAAAATAGGATTAACCTATTTTATATCGAGTTTGTATGTAATAACAAATAATTGTGGATATTTTTGTCTCATTTTAATTTTCCTCTTTACTAATAATACAGTTTGTTTTAATTTTATACATTGATAGGAACACTGTTTCATATTATACGGGAATGGGCGTTAGTTTTTGTAAAACTAAAGCAGTTTTAATGATTCATAATTTTATGTACATTGCACTTGTTCCAAATAAAGTTATTATTATTATTAATAAATGGAAAATAAAGTATAGCGGGGGTGAGGTAATGGATCGCTGGCCAGCTCATCGCGCGCATATAAAACCCGGCACGTCATTCAGCAACCGACTCTCCAACCTAAAAGAAGAAAAAGGAATAACCAGGGGTTCTCTCTGGAAGACTCCTCACCGGCCATCCATTACCAGCGCCCACCGACTTTCTTCGATACCGGATATTGGGAGTTTCATTTCGTTCGTAAACTACAGTCCACAGCAGCCGTTAAGACTCCTACGAGTTCACCCTCCACCCCCTAGTGCGAGTCGGTAACTGCTAGCTCCAGCTACAGACCGGCGTGCCGCACAGTATAATTTATTAAAGCGTTTTAGTCCATGTATAACAGGGATACCAAGTAAGCGACTGTAGCGATCTCCATTTTTTCGTGACTTTTTTGACCAACATTTTTTTTACAAGAACAATAAGATAATATTGGAAATGGCCAAAACACATTGTGAAAAAGTTTTCTTTTTTTGCTTTTTCTGAGGGATGAAATTTTCATATGATTTAAATACTGTTCGCGGGGTTTTGTAGGTAAAAGACTTTGTATTACATTTTTAGCATACTTTCATTGTCATTACTCGAGGAAGATACTATTTTTTAAAAAAAGTAAATAAATCCGAATTTGCGGTGGTACCTCAACAATCATGAACGAAAGCGGAATGAATTTCGCGAGATTTTTTGTTTTTTTTTCTAGCTATCCCTTTTTAGCGAAGGCAAAGGGCCAATGCAGCCTCGTCTTAGGCGTTCGTTTTTATTTATGTTTTTTTTTTGGTGAAGTCTGCGACTTGGTCATAAAATGTTCGAGATCAATTTCTTTGGAGATTAGAACTTTAACTTACAAAACAGGTGAGCTCCTGGCGCGATTACACCGAGTGCGGTTGGCGTCATATTTTATTTATATTCATTCATAGTGGATATTGTGAAATATAAAATCGTTATGATGTTTATCAATTTACTTACACTGTTGCGCTACAACACCCTAATGTAAAAAAGGAAGATTAATATTAATGAAGACTATGGCTGCATGAGTTTGGGCCTTTGCCTCTGTAGATAGTGCACTGTACCTGGTATACGTGTAGAGTATGCGGCTTGTGTGCGGCAGGTTGGTACATCTGCAGCAGCGTGCCCAGCCCGCTGCCACTGCCGCCGCTGCAGACATTACTTCCGCCGCTGTACATCTATACCAAACAATGTATTATATAAATACAACGATCACATCTTCACCGCACATTTTGATCTGTTTGCGAGCGAACTTCAGTTTCTGCCCAGGGGTTTATCTTTTAAAAATCTTCGCTTAAACAATGTGGAAAACATATTTCCTTCAGTTTTGAAAGAGAAAGCGAGAGAAATATCCTGCCATCAAGTGTTTTTTAAAAACATTTCATTATCTGTAAATACATTTTCCTTGCTTTATATTGAATCATTTGTAAGCATTCTACATAGAGAGCCTTTAAAAGAGGCTTACCTGTGGGTTGTGTTTGTGCATCAGTGGATGTCGCTGGGCAAAGTCTGGTGCCCGTGGGTTTAAACGAGACACTCCTTCCACGCCCACGCTGCCCACGCCACCCACGCCGCCCACGCCCACGTAACTCAGGCCCAGGGCGGCGCCTCCCATCGACACGCCGCTCGGCATCGATACCTACGCAACGCCGTATTTTAAAATGAGCCGCAGTAAATTTAAGATATTTGCTCCCAGCCTTCTTCACACAAGCGAAATAGGCATATAATGTAAAATGTTCCGTGGCCGAGTGGTTTGTAACGCCGGGTTTCATGGTGTCGCCAACTCGAGTTCGAATCCCGGTGGAGGCAGATGTTTGTGTGATGAATACGAGGATTTGTACTCTGGTCATGGATGTTTAATATTTATTTCTAAACAAATAAATAAACTTATATGTACAGTATATGGTGTTCTATCCGTTACCCTAGTATCCCAAAACACAAGCCTTATAGTGCTTACTTTGGGGCTAGGCTAATTGGTGTGAGTGTTGGAAATATTTATTTATTATTTAATGTTGTCGATTCTGGCAGGCTTCTCTAAACTTAAAACTAAATTTAACATCAGTCTGTCTTTTTCATTCTGTATAGAGAATGAGGGGCTCGATGCGGCAGGTGCTTAGCGCGTTCGGCTGCGATCGTTGAAGTTAAGAAACTTTCGTAGTAGTCGGTCGTTGGATGGGAGAGTTCCTCTGTGCTTCAGAAGGTACGTTAAGTCGTTGATCCCGGCTGCTTCTGCAGTCGTTAGTACCCGCAAAACCGCACTGGACCCGCGTGGTGGTTCATGGCCCAATCTCCCTTTTCCATCCATTGGGAAGACCTGTGTCCCAGCTGTGAGGATATTAGTAGGCTAAAGATGATGATGATGATAGAGAATGACAAGAATACATTTTTGTCAAATTGAAGCTTTAGATTTAATTAGCTTCAGAGAATCATTTATTGCGCCTCCGTCATGTTAGTTTTTTTCTCACGCTCTTACTGGTCGACTGGTAGAGAATGCCTTATGGCATTGTGTCCGACATTTGCTTTATAATTATGCTTAAATAAATAAATCATGCCACAATCGACACCGATGTCAAGATGCGGCAAAAAGGCCGCTATACTACCGAGATGACCCACTCACTAAGGCCCGTATTATAGAAAGATTCTCAGATCAGAATGAACCTAGTCTTGAGCATAGTCAGAAAGAGATGTCGCTATATATAGCATATAGGGACATCCTCTCTAACTGTACTCAAGTAAAGATCAACTCTTAGTTGTCATTCTGTAATACGGGCCTAAGTGTTCAAACCATTTCGCCAGAGAAAGACGTTTGAAAATGTGAATAGTTGAACTGATTTACCATCATGTTGTGTCCATTCCGGGAGTTGTCTTGGTAGATAGTTCCATTCCGTGATAGTGCAGTCATATCAATTGTGTTGACGTTGGTGCCTGCAAAATAATGACAACCTTATTTGCTAATGCAATTAAGAAAAACACGTGGGTCTACTAATAAAATGTTATAGAAGTTGAAATAGTAAACTGTTTGTGTCTAACATTATACTATTTTGTAAACATTATTAAAGGTATATTTATACTTTCTAATATTGTTTTCAATTGATGGACAGTTTGGATTTAAAATATTTTAACGTAAATTGATAATAAATTGATATTTAATTGAATAACAATTAGTCTTCTAATGATATTGTAAATTGGTAAACATCAATAAACATTAATTTATTTTGTATTTTTATTTATTAATTTGATCTGATGATGTACAGGGAGCGGAAACGATCGCGTTTTATACTTAGTAAAGATTTATATTGTTCTAATAAGGAACAGGGATGACGACGGGGCAAAGTAAACGAAATTCTATTTAATCTATCCGTTAGATCATAAAAATATAACGGACATTTTTTTTTCAATCAACCAAAGTAAACTTTTAAGAAAAAATAAATATTAAAACGTGACGTCACATTTCAAATTAATATATTTTTGTCATGATTTGATTATGTGAATAAAGAAAAAATACGCGTCCAATACTTTTTAATTATCCACCTAACAGACGAAGAAAAAAATGTTAAGACGTGTGGTGGTCTCACCGCGCGGCATCGGCTGGTGGTAGGGCTGCTGCGCGTGCTGTGCGTGTTGCGCGTGCTGCGCGTGCTGCGCGATGGGCGGCGCGTGCGGCGCGTGCTGCACGTGCGGCGCGTGCTGCGCGTGCTGCGCGTGCGGGGGCGGCGTGCTGCCGTGCGACGACGCGCGCGAGCACGGGCTGCAGCCGCCGCCGCGGTACCCCGGCGCCTTGCTCGCGTCCGCCTGGGAGGGACACCCCAAACATTATTACGTTCCTTTACTGCATTATACCCTTACATTAAAATGAAAAGGGTAGATACGGCACTAGTCTCACAAAAGTGATCCGCATAAATTGTGGTCCACCACCCTAATCGCTTTGGTCACAACTTGACATGCGAACGACGTACATGTGAACGCCGAAAAGAAATATTGATAATATTTTGTGTTTATATGATAAAACAACGTCTAAGTGTGTTTTTAAAAAGTGTTCAAATTGCTCAAGAACTAAAAATAAAACCCACGGCATCACTTTTCAATTGTAAGTACTATAAAATATTTTTTTTCATAAAAATTGCTGTTTGTTTTGAATCTTATTCGGTAGTGACGTCGAGTACTGGTCGCGTGATTTGTCGGTAGTGCAGTGACGCGGATCTCGCCGTCTCGTTCGCGCTGCCGTTGAAACTTAACGTGCTGTTTCGCTCGGGTCGGTAATGCAGTGACGCGGATCTCGCCGTCCCGTTCGCGCTGCCATGGGATCAGTTTTTGTTTGATGCAAGTATGAGCGTACCGTATCTACCCATTTTGTTTTAATCTAAGATTATACCTATACCATTTGCCGCGCCACGGATAAATCCTTAAACAGCGAGTGTTGTCGATCGACCTGTATCTTATTATAATAATACCTGCGGGGGCGGCACATCCACGTTGTGATGCGCGTCGGGCGCGCCCCACATGCCGCTGCCCCCGGCCGCAGGTAATTCCTTAAACAGCGAGTGTTGTCGATCGACCTGTATCTTATTATAATAATACCTGCGGGGGCGGCACATCCACGTTGTGATGCGCGTCGGGCACGCCCCACATGCCGCTGCCCCCGGCCGCAGGTAATTCCTTAAACAGCGAGTGTTGTCGATCGACCTGTATCTTATTATAATAATACCTGCGGGGGCGGCACATCCACGTTGTGATGCGCGTCGGGCGCGCCCCACATGCCGCTGCCCCCGGCCGCAGGTAATTCCTTAAACAGCGAGTGTTGTCGATCGACCTGTATCTTATTATAATAATACCTGCGGGGGCGGCACATCCACGTTGTGATGCGCGTCGGGCACGCCCCACATGCCGCTGCCCCCGGCCGCAGGTAATTCCTTAAACAGCGAGTGTTGTCGATCGACCTGTATCTTATTATAATAATACCTGCGGGGGCGGCACATCCACGTTGTGATGCGCGTCGGGCGCGCCCCACATGCCGCTGCCCCCGGCCGCAGGTAATTCCTTAAACAGCGAGTATTCCTGGGCCCCGCCTCCGCCGCTGCCGCTGCTGCCCGTCCCGCTTGTCTGCACACACAAAGTGCCGTCTCAAAAACAATACGAACTCGTACAGGTCGCGACACGTAACTCTAGCGCTGAACAAACCGCATCAGGGATATCTACGATATATTTGACGACCTCCGTGGTCGAGTGGTGTACGCCGGGTTTCATGGTGTCGCCGACTCGAGAGGTCCCGGGTTCGAATCCCGGTGGGGGCAGATGTTTGTGTGATGAATACGAGCATTTGTACTTCAGTCATGGATGTTTCATGTGTATTTCTAAATAAAAATATACTTATATATGTACAGTATATGTATTGTATCCGTTACCCTAGTATCCTATAACACAAGCCTTACAGAGCTTACTTTGGGGATAGGCTAATTGGTGTGAGTGTTGTAAAAATAAAAATAAATAAAAAATAAAAAAGTCTACGCATGTCGGGTACGACTGGAGAGACAATCGGGGCACGCCCCGCCCCGCCTGCGCACCTCGTTTCCCCCCAACACGTCATTACGCGTGCGCAATAACGGCCCAAGCTAGTTTCGTGTCGCGACTTACATAATGCCACAATTTATAGATTTTAGAAAATGTAAGTAAAAAGAGATTGGCTACAGACATAACGAAGGAAAATGTATACGAGTAAATGGAGCTTGTCTTGATTCTAAAAGCCATATTCTAATAATAAGTGTCGAACAAAGCTGTAGGTGGAATATCGAGCACATAAGACAAGCAAAGGAGATGATTCCAGAATGGTAGTCGGTTTCCGACAGTGATGAAACTTATTTCAATCGAAAGCCAGTTTTATGTAATAACATGAACAGATATTTATATTTTTTTGATTGAATTGAACAGTTTCGTAAGGATGCTGGCCACCCTGTCATAATTAACATCATATTTTTAGTCTGTAACGGTTTATTAACGTCGTCAGCTCAATCACTGTAACATGTCAAACAGTCCAGTCATAACATATTTCAGTGAAATCATAATGAAATTCTTGATTGATTTTTCTTGAAATTCAATACCCACAAAATGCCTAATAACATAACGAGAGATCAACGGAATCGATATCACTGCTTTCGTTACCTATTGAATAAATATTGAATTAATATTTGACACTTCGGCAACAAACATTGCATAAATAAACTTCAATTCAATTCAATTTATTGCACTCATGTGGTTACATCGATGGTTACAAAATGCTTATAGTACCTAACATGAACCCTGTCAGGGTATCGCAATATACAGTACAGTTAAAGATAAAAATTACAAAAGAATCCAATTAATAAACAGTTACGTATATAAGTACCCTAATTTGTATTTGCCTTGCCAACTTGCCAATTTCCAATCAATAAGTCATGAAAAATTGTAGATTGCCGGAGACAGACTACCACCCTAAATACAAATTTGAACAGCATTCTTTCCGTTCGTACTTAGCGCCCTTTTAGAGAATTTTATATAGTTAACCGAAAATAAAACTATTGTCTACTTTATGTTCTCGCCCAGAAGGGTAGTCAAAACTGTGTGAATAAATGGCTAGTGAGAAAAGTTTCTATGATGCATGAGCTATTTGTAAGCGTATCTGGATTACAATAGCAATTCATATCAGGTGGACAGCCTTTTAATCACAAACTGGTGACGATTCTGGCATGATTCTCCAAACCTAAAATTAAATTTGAAAACAGTGTATCCTTGTTGTTCTCTATACATAACGAAAAAGAGAGACTGATGTTAAATTTAGTTTTAAGTTTAGAGAATCATGCCAGAGTCTACACCACTGTTAAAGTAAAACTAATTAAAATGTAGCGCTCGCGAAGTAACTCGATAGCGCGGGTGGTTAGCGCCTTTGACTGCGATCGTTAAAGTTAACCAACTTTCGCAGTGGTTGGTCATTGGATGGGTGACCAAAAATCTTCTATATTGAGTTCCTCCGTGCTTCGGAAGGCACGTTAAGCCGTTGGTCCCGGCTGCATCTGCAGTCGTTAGCACCCGCCAATCCGCACTGAGATCTCTATATTCCATCCATAGGGAAGGCCTGTGCCCTAGCAGTGGGGACATTAATAGACTGATGATCATGAACATAAATGTTGGCGCTCACCTGCGGGTTGGTGTTGATGTGGAGGGCTGCGGAAGGATTGGAGGTGTTCTCGTCATTTGCATTCCATGTGCCAGTATTATCAGGGCTCAGCTGAAGCAGAAACGTTTAATAAAATATCACGATTTATCAGACATCCTATTTAATTTTAGCTGTAACTACTTTTTATTGCACTTTATCTATAAACAATCCACGATTACTAGGGAAACCTTTCCAAAAGAACCTAGGTGTCTATTTATCAAATTGACGACATTTTAGAGGAAACGGGGTAAGGGATGTTAGAGCACATTAGTAAAGAATCAAAAATAATAGCAAGGGGGAAGAAGAGATCTCTGCATCCACTATTTTTCAATAGATCTCGTATTAAGGCTCATAGCTTTTTTAGAATATTGAAAAGGGTCGGTGTATGTACTACCAATTATTGTAATAAGCTATTTGACAATATTGTCGCAAACGCTCTCGAAACAAAACCGCGAAAATTTTAGAGACAGAATTTACCAGAACTGTATGCAATTGTTGGCATCTGTATTTTAAACATGAATATTAGCAGCGATTTTTCTATTCTGAGAGAACAAATAATTAATAACTTTTCTAAAAAACCATTACATAGAAATGACTTTTTTGTGCTATGATCACGGGACTGATAACACCTGGGATTAGCGAAGATTAAAATGACGTCACACGCTAGAAAACTTCCGGTCAAAGTGAAATTACCTTGTATCGTTTGACGTTTTAATGACAGTTGAGTGACGTCGCATACAAGTGTGATAAAAAATGTTTTCGCAGCAACTTGAAAATGGAATTTTTTATTTAATTTTTTACTGAATTACATAACAGGTTGATGAATATTTTTCTTATGGTTTCCATAAACATTAGTGAATAACGTGAGTACGTTTTTTTAAACTTGTCATATACGCAATTAAATGTGTCGTCGTGGTTTATTACCTGCAGCGTGCGGTCGGGCGTGTTGCGGACAGAGGCTTCGTCGTCGCATCGTGTGGGGGAACAGTCGCGGGCACCTTGCTTGTCGAAGCTTTTCAGTTCCTGATCCAGTGGATTTACAGATATTAATCAATACAATAGGCATAAATACATATTAGTCAACGGGATAATGTATTTAAGATATATGTTATACAACCATCGGAATTGGAAGTACCCTTAACATTTAGGGGGATGAAAAATAGATGGTGTCCGATTCTAAAACCTACTGAATATGCAAGAACTTCACAAAAATCGGTCGAGCCGTTTCGGAGTAGATCAATTACGCACACCGTGACACGGGAATTTTATATATTAGATTGCATGTTATTCAAATAAGCTTCATCTTATTTTATATTATTGGATGAATAAGTTTTAGTTTAGTGTGTTGTTAATGAAAATATTCATTGTAGCTAATCATGACGCATTGTTGTGTTTCCGGATGTACCAATACATGTACAAAAAAATAAAATAAATCATTTAGCGTAAAAGCTCATTACTTTCCAATGAAAAGTACTTTCATACCATGGTTATGTGAAAAACATAAAATTGCGGCTTGGCGGCGAACGTATGTGCGCGCGCGCCGACGATGGCGCCCGGGAGTGTGTGCCATGTGTAGGGTGTCGTATTCACCTGCGCCTGCGCCTGCGCCTGGTGCCTGGGCTTGAGGTCTGCCGCGGTGCCGAGTGTGGGCGGCGGCGCGGGTGCGGCCGCGGGCGCGGGCGCGGCCGTCAGCTTGGCGGCGAACGTATGTGCGCGCGCGCCGACGATGGCGCCCGTGTACGACAGCGCACCCGTCCCGCTGACGCTGCCGCCGCCGCAAGGCGTGCGCTTTTCGCCCGACCCGACGCCTCCTGTACACGACATACCTTTAAATACATATTTATAAGAGTCATCTTGTACATTCTTGTCACTTCATTCATTCAATTCATTAAGTAACAACGCGAATATAGATATATTGTATGACAGTATCGTACCGTTTTACTAACCCAAAAATTTTGCACTCGGCATCATTGGGGATTCCCGGTGAGCAGCGCTTTATGGGTTATTTGTAAGTTTTGTTTTTTTATTTTTGCGTTTTCCTTATATACTTTCGGAAATTGATCGTCGGTACGTACCATGCAGCCGCGCGGGCGCCGGCCGGGGCGCGACGTGGTGTTTGGTAGCGGCGGCGGGCGCGGCACTAGACGCGGTGGAAGCGGGCGCGCGCGCGGGTGGCGTGCTGCGACTGCTTACGCCCGCTGTACTCGAAGTGCCTGATGTGTTGCCGACACTGCTGCCGCTCTGAATCAGACATACCACATTATAGTTATTTATACGTCTCTTTTTTATATATCAGAAGTCATCTATTAGTTTAACGCCCAAATGTTTCTTTAGAATTTCATATACTTTGGGACACGTTTACCCACTTAGTGTTACAAGTTTAATTATAGCGGTCGATAGCAAATGTTGGAATATGTTTATGGTTGGAATTTTGACAGCTCTGTAATCGTATTTTTATCGTCAAATTTTGTATGGAAGAAACAACTTTGTTCTTACATCATTTATTGCTGCCGCTTTCACAAATCATAATGGTTACATTACAAAACGATAGCGTCGCGCGGCGGCGGTGGGCGCGGGGGGCAGCAGCGCCGCGATGTCGGCGTCGATGCGGTCGCGGATCATGGTACAGGTACAGGTACAGGACTCACCTTGGAGGGCGCCGGCTTGGCGGGCTTGGAGGCGGGCGCGGCGGGCTTGGGTCGCGCGGGCGCGGCGGTGGCGGCGGGCTCGGGTCGCGCGCGGTCGGACGCGGACGCGGCGGTGGGGGGCGCGGCGGTGGGGGGCAGCAGCGCCGCGATGTCGGCGTCGGGGTCGCGGATCATGGTACAGGTACAGGTACAGGACTCACCTTGGAGGGCGCCGGCTTGGCGGGCTTGGAGGCGGGCGCGGCGGGCTTGGGTCGCGCGGGCGCGGCGGTGGCGGCGGGCTCGGGTCGCGCGCGGTCGGACGCGGACGCGGCGGTGGGGGGCGCGGCGGTGGGGGGCAGCAGCGCCGCGATGTCGGCGTCGGGGTCGCGGATCATGGTACAGGTACAGGTACAGGACTCACCTTGGAGGGCGCCGGCTTGGCGGGCTTGGAGGCGGGCGCGGCGGGCTTGGGTCGCGCGGGCGCGGCGGTGGCGGCGGGCTCGGGTCGCGCGCGGTCGGACGCGGACGCGGCGGTGGGGGGCGCGGCGGTGGGGGGCAGCAGCGCCGCGATGTCGGCGTCGGGGTCGCGGATCATGGTACAGGTACAGGTACAGGACTCACCTTGGAGGGCGCCGGCTTGGCGGGCTTGGAGGCGGGCGCGGCGGGCTTGGGTCGCGCGGGCGCGGCGGTGGCGGCGGGCTCGGGTCGCGCGCGGTCGGACGCGGACGCGGCGGTGGGGGGCGCGGCGGTGGGGGGCAGCAGCGCCGCGATGTCGGCGTCGGGGTCGCGGATCATGGCCGCGATTAACGCGCCCGCCTGCCGTGTCGCCTCGCTTGACCCTCTGATATTACCATAACACGATTCAAACTTGAGATTTCTTTATCCAAAATAATAATAAAAAAATGGGTGCGGGTACTTATGTAGGCGCGTGAGAAGTTATCCTTCTTTGGCATCGTTTAAAATTAGTTTTTAATTGCATGCAAATAATTAATTACAATAAATTAATAAAAAGTCTGGAAAAGGACACAGTCAATAAAGTTCAGTTTTAATTTGAAAAAATTAATAAATAATCAATTAAAATCGCTACTGAATATAATTTATTAGAACTTAAGTGATTTGCACTTGTATGAAACTCAAACACGTATTCCGAATATACAAACTAGAAACATGTGGATAAATATTATAAATATGAATACCTATAACTGTTACTTTATTACAAAAAATAAAGATGTGGTTTTTGGTTCTACTACACCAATGGTCAAGAGATGGCGCTATAGTCTCCTGAATCGCGCTTTGGTTCCGTTGTTCCAGATTAATAAATACTTTTGATAGGCCTTCACAATGCAGTCGTTAGCACCCACTAAATAGATTCTATTTCTATTTTGTTGATAGATTTTCTTAATGTGCGGTAAACACAAAAGTAACTGCATGGAGTTGGTCGCTAAAGCGACCAACTTCATGCTGTTAATTTTTTGTGTTACAGTGATGCGCGCGCATCTTAAAATTTCACTCTCATCATTTTTTCATAACGCGCCTAAAGAAGTATAACTTCAAAAAATAATAATAAATATTGCCAACACTCACACCAATTAGCCTAGCCCCAAAGTGAGCACTATAAGGCTTGTGTTATGGGATACTAGGGTAACGGATAGAATACATATACTGTACATATATAAGTATATTTATATAGAATTACATATTAAACATCCATGACTGGAGTACGAATGCTCGTATTCATCACACAAACATCTGCCCCCACCGGGATTTGAACCCGGGACCTCTCGAGTCGGCGACACCATGAAACCCGGCGTACAAACCACTCGGCCAGAGGAGGTCGTCAAAATGGAAACTTAATACAACTGTTTAATACAATCGTCAATTTATTTTCCATACCAACTATTTTATACATTCTTAACTGTGGATAAAAACAGACGAAAGAAACTTCACAGTGTAAAAACATATTACTATATTTCAAGCTCAATTCACATTCTACTTATACAGTCTTCTGCATTGAAACATTATTGAGTCTCTAACGAACATTGTAAACATAAGCGATGTGAATATTGTTTTATTAACTATACGATCAAATCGGACGTTTTACTAACAGAGCACTTTTAACACCTAATAATTATTAAGATCGATACATTATTGTTCAATATATTTAACAAATCACAATCACGTGCAACTTCAGTTCGCGTTAGACCCAATCTATGTGTACACAGTTCCAATCAAGTTAAATAATACATATTTTCATTAAATCTTAACCTAGTGTTTTCCTGTCTTCGACATCAAGAAATAGCCATTTAACTTACCGAGTTGACAAGGGCACCTATATAAATAAAAATCATTCCAAACCAATGATAAAATATTGTGCGGTGGTATGGTGTAGCACGTAGTACTCACTTGATGGTGATGATCCTCTCGCCCTGCCCCTTGCCCTGCTTGTCGACCTCGATGTGTGCTCCAGTCGCGGCGCGGATGGCGTTGATGTTGCTGCCGGCGCGCCCGATCACGCGGGAGATGGCGTGTGACGCCACCGATACTTTCTTGCAACTGTTACAAAATTAAAATTTATTATAAAAGCTACTATATGGTTGGGCGAAGCGATGGCGGGTTCATGCGTCATGCTCGTGAACGGGTGCTGCTAACGGAGATGAGTCTGCCCTAACTACTTTGATATTTAAGATGTAAATGTTTAATTACACCTATTATAAGTAACTCTATTTGTATTTATACTGTGTGACACAGCAATCAAAATGCAGGTGTACAATCTCTTATCTATTAGACAAGTCCGTCCGTCCGTCCGTGGTGCTGTTTCAGCGGCCAAACCGTAAGAGATAGATAAAGAGAATGTTTAAGTTATAAGTTAAGAATAGTCTGATAAGACTATAAACCGGATGTGAGTAACGTAGCACTTCCGGTTTTCGAGAAATCACGTGATTTCTATTTCAAACGAAACCACACAAAATCTCCGAAGTTCTCAATTAATTAAATACATTTTTTTTTGGTGAACATTTGGTTCACTGGTTTGCTAGTTAATGTATAATTTCACAATTATGTACTGAAAGGTGACTTCATGAATCATCGAAATCGTCATTTTTCAACTTGACAACTTTGTAAATGATAAAACAGGGAGAAAAAAACAGCCCTTGCTGAGTTTCTTGCCGGTTCTTCTCAGTACAAGGTCTCCAGCCGTAGATTTACGAACCGATGGCGTAGCTTCTAGACATTCATATATGCTTGTAACAGCCTCAACTGAATAAATGATTTTGATAGATTGATTACTGGACCGCTGCGACGCAGTACCACTGGTGCGCCCACCGATACGCCGAAATCTTTACGATGCGGCGCCGTCATACCTAAAGGCGTAGTCACAACACCATCTACCGCTTTCGTTTAAAATTAATGCCTTTGTAACCAAGTCCTCTGCCCATTGATAACTTTTAATATCAGCACGGAAAATTTTGCATCTGTCTCATTCTATGTGATAATTTGATGTTTGTCTTTTGTAATGAGATTAAATATTTATAGCCAAGTTAAACGTGTCTAAATAGGCTACGTCTAACGGTGCACAATTATGTATGGCAATTAATTACGTGTATAGCAAAAAAGCCATATTATTAACCAGGATTTGGAGAGAGAAAAGCACAATAATTTCATAGAAACACGGGACAGAGCGAGATCATGAAATGATCTTTTAACTTGACGATTATAAATCATAATACAGGGAGAAAAATATAGCCCATGCTGAGTTACTAGTCGGTTCTTCTCAGTACAAGGTCTCCCGCTGTAGATTTACGAACAGATGGCGTAGCTTCTGGACATTTATGAGTGCAAGTAACAATGTAATCTGAATAAATGATGTGAGTCAGGCACATACCCCGGCTCGAGGGCGGAGAGTGCCTGCACGCTGGACTTGCGCACCACCTCCTTCCAGCCGTCCTCGCGCCGCCCGCCCCCGCCCCCGCCCCCGCCCTCATGTGATGTGCATAGTGAATGTGAGTCAGGCACATACCCCGGCTCGAGGGCGGAGAGTGCCTGCACGCTGGACTTGCGCACCACCTCCTTCCAGCCGTCCTCGCGCCGCCCGCCCCCGCCCCCGCCCCCGCCCTCATGTGATGTGCATAGTGAATGTGAGTCAGGCACATACCCCGGCTCGAGGGCGGAGAGTGCCTGCACGCTGGACTTGCGCACCACCTCCTTCCAGCCGTCCTCGCGCCGCCCGCCCCCGCCCCCGCCCCCGCCCTCATGTGATGTGCATAGTGAATGTGAGTCAGGCACATACCCCGGCTCGAGGGCGGAGAGTGCCTGCACGCTGGACTTGCGCACCACCTCCTTCCAGCCGTCCTCGCGCCGCCCGCCCCCGCCCCCGGCTCCGCTCGCACCCTTCGGTGATGTACTCTTGCCTTCCATTTCACCAACGCATCTGCACAACATAACACATGCTACCTTCCAGTCTCGCTTTTTGACACTCCTCGCCCTGGTACAGACACGGCAAAATTTGCACGTATGCACAAAAGTTCCATGTACACTTTTTTATTTAATCTGTGCATTAATACTACTTCTATTCTGCCGTATCTGAACTAGGGCTTATCCATAAAGGTGCTATTCCGACCTTGGCTGCAAGCAGCACACGCAGCGGTTGCAAGTAGCCCATTCGTTTGTATGAAATACATTCCGGCAACGGCTGCAGCCGAGTTTGGAATGTATTTTATACACTGTCTGTCACATATCTGTCTGCATCTGTAACCTGCTACCAAGACCGAACTAACAACTTAATGACTGAATGATCTTCTATATAAAAAGTGTTGCAAACGAGCGCATACTTTGAAGCTCGATATCAAATGATCTCCATAAACTGTAAATCCCAATCGCAAATTGTCTGCTTTAATTCAATTTCTTTACCCTGTGTAGGTGTACTATAGCGCGGAAACTCAACTCTATGGGATAGTGATGTTTGGCTGCTTATCTTTAAATAAGTAATGTGTCCAATTGATCAAAAACACAGAAATGTATAAATTTTAGCAATGTAGCTTTGCTTCTACCGATTTAGACCTGACGTCACACGCTCCAAGGCCGCTAGTCATCAGTTTGATTGCTCTCGGGGTGTTAATAAAAAAGGATTTTTTATACAATAGGTACTTGCTATTTGTGTGCTACTTCTAGATACAAAATGTGAATAGCCTGATCTTCTCGTGGCTGGAACTATAGAAAGGTGATGATGTGCGGCCCGCAATCACGATAAAAATTTTCGTGTTTTTCATGCAATTTTTCAATTTACACTTACACGGATTAATCTTTGTCCTTATATAATAATATTGCATTTGGGTAGAACATAAATTGAAAATTGTATATAGGTCACGATCAGCCCCCATTCAGCTTTAAAATAGGTACTTCGAATATCAATGAATGATAATTATATAGTATTTCTTGGTATCATGACAACTCCCCAGCATTAACATGGTACAACCTAGGTTTCATGAGTTTTTTCCCCTGACTAAATTTGGGTTTCGAAAGAATAACGGGCTAGGAAGAATTATGAATCAAAATATAAACAAAACATGCGAGGAAGCCTAAAAGGAGGCGAGTAATTTTCCGCTGTGTTTTACGTAATTTACTAGCAATTTAATGAAGAGAGTGTATGTAGAAAAGTAGTCGGTCGCGAGCGCACTGAACGGTGACTCGGACCGTGTATGGGCCATGTAATGTTTGAATAATTATGATGCCTCGTGATGTGGACAAATAAACGTCAACTTACTGATACTTGGCAGTCTTTTTACATTTGTCGAACGCGTCAAACTCGTCTTTATCCACATTGTGCCGAGTGGATTCGAACACTTGACTCTTTCTAGAGTTATTCCCATATTTATTACTATTCTGTACTGTTATGCTCTTAGGGTTATCCTCTTCAGGTTTTCTGCAAGAATAATAATTTTAATTCTATACCCCCTCGTATACTTCGAGAATCACATGTTACAGTTCGGACATGACATGTATCGGACATTATCAAGCATAGCCCGCGTACAAGAAAAGCGTGGGAGATCACATAAAACAGTATCGAAGCGAAGAATTCAATGCAACCATTGTTTTAAATTAGCACGCATCGTAGACCGAATACCACGCAAAACAATTATCGGACCGGAGAAACAAATATGCATTAGCCATATTCACATACAACACTGTTTTAGTGCGAGTTATAAACTTGGCCGAGTTCGAGGTTCACTTATCACTGCCTTTTGTCAAAAGGTGGCGCCGCTCGATTGCTACTAAAATACACAGAACTCCAAAGTGAATAACTCGCACTAAAGTTTCCAAATAGTGGAGGAGGGGACGCCAGGGTTGAGCGCAGTAGTATACGTACAGCGTGGCAGGCTGGGGCTTGTCTCTGCCACGAGCGGTGGCGGGCGCGGACGCGGTTGAAGGCGCCACGTTCTCCTTCTCCTTCTTCTCGCTCTTGGGGGGACTGTCCTTGTCAGCTTTTGTGTCTAGTTTGGGTTTGTTCTGTAGGAAGCGATCGTTTTATCATAATCATAAATAAGAGGCTTCGCTTCAGATTATTATTATATTAAGCAACATTGAATAGAGTTAAAATAAAAACTCTTCATTGCACAACAAGTCTCGAGAACAATTCAAATAACAATAGCGTTGCACAATGTGCGGTCTTAACGTTAATCGGCTATTTCTTACAGAAAACCTAGTCAGCAAGAAATAATCATAAAGGGTAAGCGAAGATTCCAGTTGGATTCATCTACACTTCAGCAGTGGTTATTTGTCATAAAATATTTTTCTTTTATACGTAGGTAACTTCAGATTTCGGTCGTATAATTAAATTGGTTGCCATGCGTCACAAGAGAGATAGCTAGCGGTCTCTCATCTCCTTTCTCTTTCTACGAGAAGGACACTTTTAGAGCCGGTTTGCCCACTCTATTGTTATACCTGTATGGAAGTATGTCATGTATACTCACTTTATCCAGTTTGTTATTGCTGGGTGCAGAGGGGAGGGCGTGCGGCAGCGCGGGCCCGGCGAGGGCCGAGTGTGGGGCCGGGTGTGGGCCCGAGTGTGGGCCCGAGGGCTGGGCGGGGGTCTTGTCAGCCTTCTTCTTCTTGCTCTTAGCGCTGGGGGCCGGCGGCGCCTTCACGTCCGACGACGAGCACGAGCCCTACCGGGAATAATACCGAGGTCATTCATACTCATCACGAGTTGTATTCCGTAGCTCCTGCGCGGGTCGGTGCCACCGTGATCCGGTCTGATTCCTCGCAATCGGATATGTTGAAGCGTTCGGCAATCATATAGTATAAAATATGTCAAGTAGTAGATGCAAAATTAGTTTTAACGTTCACTTTCGATAACAATGTAAACTCGCGCCAGTCAAGAAACGAATCGACATTGACGACGCGAGACTTTCTCTTGCAAGTTCTTCTAGATAGAAAATGTGCAAATTGGACATAATTTCTTCCATCTTCATTTTCATTTCAAATTTTACCGCCGTAATTTATAGCTAATTAGCTGCAATAAGAAAACGGTCCCTGACCAAAACCATTCACACATATTACCAAACTTACTATGCAATACAAACTAATGGAAAGGTCAATCAACCTAAAGTACTACAATCATCATCATCAACCCACACTCGTCCACTCCTGGTCATTGGTCTCCCCTTATGCACACCACCGCTCCCGATTTTTACTGTCATCCTACTACCACTACCAAGTACTACAATAGTATGACGTAAATGTTAAACTTGAGTTTGGTTTTCCATTTCCCATGTTGTAGGCAGTAAGTATACCGCAGACAGACGGTCACCTGCGAGTTGGCGTCGATGCCGGAGTCGCCCTCCTCCTTGGCCGCGGGCTCGTCGTCAGGCTCGCCGCCCTCCGAGTCTCCGAGCGCCTTCTCGCTGTACATGGAGTTCTTGTCGTTCTCCGCCTGCAATTTACGGCGCTCCTCCTGGTTAACATAATTTATTGTGATTCAAGTAATGTCTTAACATTCACTTCATTGATTTATACTGCCAAATATATCGCAATATTACAAAATCGTTGTCTTTTGTCGACACTTCATCACATCGATATTTATTTTGCTATTAGAAAAGGTTTCAGCAACTTCTGATTTTCATTCCATATTAAAGCACGTCAAGAAGACTGCTACTAAATATATAAATAGTCATGTGAATTGCTAGCCTTTAAAAAGTAACTACAAAATGAATTAAACGTACATTTACCCAAAGCCAGCGGGATGTTTAATTCTCTGATTATAATTATGGCTCTCTATAACACATTGAAGTAGGATAATGAAATTTGTTCCTAAACGAAAATGAAATTTGTTCTAAAAAAAAATTTAGAAATTAAAGTTCTGTCTTCAATTCCTCCAGTTATATGGTAGCGGGTATACAGTTACCTTCTTCTCCATCTTCTTCTTCTTCTTGCGCTCGCGTCGCCTGGCAGCGGCCTGGCGGCGACTGTGTTCCCTGCACCGCTCCGTCTCCAGTTCTTCGAGCAATATGGTAGCGTTCTGGTTGGCGCGCGCCGCCTGCGTTTCTTTGGCGGCGCGGATCACGCGTACGCCTTCCTGGCACTTTTCCAGTAGTTCCTTGTCCGAAATCGTACAGATGTACCTGAAAACAAACACGTTATAGTGCAAAAGGATCTTTACGTGTTCTTAATGTGGCGAGAATTAGAACTAACGCATACTTTTTGTTACAACGTCATATTTTGTATGTTATTTTCAACAATAATAAATATCCTAGATACACCAACACGAACAAAATCGTGCCTGAAACCTGGTACATTGGACGATCCACGACACTTCGGAAGATGATCGCGTAGTCAAAAACAATATAAGGCATTATTTAATCATTGAAAGTCACCTTTAATGCATACTGTATAACGTCTTTGACAGTTAAAAATGCAAGCTCGTAAAATTTTGCGACTTATTGCTATCCTTACCTTATTTCTTTGGCTCTACGAGCAATTCTGAATGCGCTGTTCGCAATATAGCGGGTACGAACCACGAGGAAAAGAGACGGCTATATTACGGATCATGCATTTGAATATCATAAATATTTTCCATTCAATCAGTTTATAGTATGTTTTAGAACAAAATTTGCTTTAAATGCGTTAAATTAATAGACATTGATTAGGTGCCTGTCGAAAAAACGTCACTTTACATACTATAAGTATATTTTTTTTGCATTTTTTCACGGAGCTCTGCGGCAATTTAACTTCTCAACGGTTCGCGCGTGACTGTGAACCAAGAAGTGCTTGAGTGGTGTTGAAGCACTTCTTGATTGGGACACATATTGAGAGCACGTGGTGTATCTAGGGGTAGGTAATATCGTTGGTCATTTACGGTAATTAACGTAGACAGTGGTGCCCTCCTTGAACTGTCACTCACATTCATTACGGTCCTTGTCGCACAGTATAATATGATTTTCTCTACCGCTTGCTATAGGAAACACTTTCCAGGAGTTCTAAAGCGCAGACTGCCGTTTGCTCACACACGGCCTGTTTCAATGATCAGATCAACCCCAGTAAACTATAAGGATAAACTGGTTCCGTTTCTTAGCAAGCGGTTATCATAATCTAAATAATAAAAGTATCTAAGCAACAAAGCTCTAATTGGCTCTCTTATCTTTTGATATGAAATGTAAAGGAAGAGTGTGTAATAACACATCCTTCCCTTACATTTCATATGAAAAGTAAAATTCATATAACTGGATTAGGAACATACCTTGTCATTTCCTGGTCGGATGGGAATTGCGTTACGACTCCTACCATCCATTTGACTACTTTGGTGTGGCCCTTTCTAAAAGCGGCCATAAGGCAAGAGACCTGTGAAGAACATCGAGTTAATATAATAAATCACGGAATCCAAAGAGCGCTAATAAGAATGGAACTCTGTTAAAAAATAAAATGAAATATAAACTGTACATAAAACCATACCTTTCTATTGTCTTGGGAGTCGATGTCTGCACCGGCAGCGTACAGCATCTCTACTACAGTTAGATGGCCGCCATTAGCGGCCAGCCATAGTGGGGAGTTGCCTTTTTTATTCTTCACTTCCACCGCCGCTTGCCTGAAAACGAGACACGAATTTCAGTATTTCATTGATAAAGTTTTTTACTAAGTTTACACGACGAATTGCATATAATAGTAAAATAACAATCTGTAATTATTGAATAAATTAAGTAAGTAAGACAGATAAAACAGAACAGATAAACCTGGTTACGACGTGTTCAAATGATCAATATTAAGAGGTTGAGACTTGTGAAACAGAACATAGCGGCATCTTTGTCGTGAATGTTTGTGTCCCTTGTCCTAGCATCTCACATTGTTATTCATTTTTGTTATTTGTAAACCTGGCAACAGCCTCTTCTTTTCCGTCCCTATAGAGAATGGCGAGGACAACCTGCTATCAAAACGACAAATACGAATTGTAAAGTGCCGGCATGGCAGACCGTGTCAGCGTGCTGTGCAGCACAGACTTTGGATTTATTACGAGAGAAGGGACGGGCGGGGCCAGGGTCTCACCTGTGCAGCAGCAGCTCCACGAACTTGATGTGCCCCTTGTCGGCCGCGATGGTGAGGGCCGTGTCCCTGGAGGAGGGCACGGGCGGGGCCAGGGTCTCACCTGTGCAGCAGCAGCTCCACGAACTTGATGTGCCCCTTGTCGGCCGCGATGGTGAGGGCCGTGTCCCTGGAGGAGGGCACGGGCGGGGCCAGGGTCTCACCTGTGCAGCAGCAGCTCCACGAACTTGATGTGCCCCTTGTCGGCCGCGATGGTGAGGGCCGTGTCCCTGGAGGAGGGCACGGGCGGGGCCAGGGTCTCACCTGTGCAGCAGCAGCTCCACGAACTTGATGTGCCCCTTGTCGGCCGCGATGGTGAGGGCCGTGTCCCTGGAGGAGGGCACGGGCGGGGCCAGGGTCTCACCTGTGCAGCAGCAGCTCCACGAACTTGATGTGCCCCTTGTCGGCCGCGATGGTGAGGGCCGTGTCCCTGGAGGAGGGCACGGGCGGCGCGTTGACGTCGGCCCCCTTGTTGAGCAGCACGCGGCCCACGTCCACGTATCCGCCGCTGGCCGCCTCCATGAGGGGCGTGAGGCCGGTCTTGGCGCGATGCTCCACGTTCGCCTTGCGGTCCAGCAGAAGGCTCACCACCTCGTGACGACCTACGCACATGTTCACCGATTAATATTGTCATAAACCTCCTCGAAACAAAACCGCGAAAATACCGGAGACAGATCTTAACGGAACACTGCGGGTCGCTTATTCTAATATGAGCCTTACGCAGTGCGGCGTAAGGGAGAAAGTGCAAGAACATCTGCACTTCTTTACGAATTATGCGCGTTACCTGCTTAGATATAAGTAGGTCCTACGCACTCGCGGGTGCTAGTTAACTCTCAATTTAACGAGACTTTTCTAGAATGCGTCGATTGGCGTATATAAGCGCGATCGGCGCCGCGCTTGTCAGCTTGTTTTTTTTTTATTTACATTAATTCCAGCCCCATCATCGTGGTAGTATAGTGTAGTGTAGTATAGCGTCACCTTGGAAGCACGCGAGCGTGAGGGCCGTGTTCCTGTTGGTCTCGATCTGCGCGTTGATGTCGGAGCCGCAGTCGAGCAGCAGTCGCACGGCCGCCGTGTGCCCGTTCATGGCCGCCAGCATCAGCGGCGAGATGCCCAGCTTCGAGCCCGTGCGAGAGTTTATCTCCGCCTGGGATCACACACAACTCTAAGGTTCAACACTCACTAAAACGTAGACTAAAGTCAAACCAGCCGGACTTTTCGCTAACTTTTTTGAAATTTACAGTGCGTAACTAAGAAGAGAGAAAAAATCATATCCCTCAATGCTTTTTAGAACAATTATCTTAGTGACTTATTATAAAGCAGTATTGGATCACTATAAATAGCTCGGTGATTATCACTTTCGTCTGTCAAAAGCAGTTAGCGAATAGGCCTACTGAACTTAAACTGATGCTGTCTTTGCCTTTGTTTGCTCAAAAAAAAAAGAAGAAAGAGACAACATTAGGTTTAAGCTGATATTAAGTTATGTCCGAGTTTTGGAATAAGGCGGGAAAATTCTAATATAAAAAGAGCTGAAATTTTGTTAAGTATTGTAAAAAATCATTATTTTTTGCCCTGAGAGTTTTTCAAGAATTCTTTCATGGTCACAAATGAAGAGAACCGAATACCTTTTACATATTTGAGAGATAAGTAAAACTTAACTATATCAATTTATTTAGACTCACATATTTTTCTAGATTTCTAATCACAAATGAATAATATTATTCAGTAAGGATGTAAATACCTGGTGGTGTAGTAAAAGCCTAATGATGTTGACGTAACCGCCGGACGCTGCCAGCGATAAAGGGGTGTAGTCTGATACATTTCGATGTTCCTGAAAAATAAAAATATATATGAAAATATCCATTATAATGTCTACATTCATAGAGTAAAATTATTGTATCAATTTCTAAATGGCATGGTATCGGCGTGAGATTACAATAACAATGAAAATCCTTATGTTTTCTTTTGCAATCAAGCCACCTGTAAGGTGGCTTTGATTTTTGGAGTGAATGGCGCTCGCTTCACTCAGGACTCTACATAACTCCCGTGTTAACTCTAGGAGTCCCTCGTTACGCTCAGGGTCCAATATGCTGCCCGTGACGTAAGACACTGCTTTATCCCCTTGGTGCATAATCTACTATTAGGCTGCCGCAGCACACTCCGTCTAGGATATTCGTTTTTTAGCTCTGTATTTGTCTAAAATAATTGTCCACATTTTCGTGTCTGGTAGTGGTTGTTATATAGACATATAATCTACTATCGGCCGCGGGCGACTTCGTCCGCGTCAACTTCACTTTTTTGTTAATCCCCCAGGAACTTAACACTTTTCCGTCTGTATATAAAAAAAAATTCAAATCCATTCAGTATTTTCTACGTGATTGAGTAACAAACAAACAAACTTTCACATTGATCGGTGAGCTCGAACTGCGCCTCGCGTGGTTCAGCAGATGTATCCACCTATCTATATACCCGTGTAGTGCAGCCCCTCACCTTGTTGGCGCCGCGGCTGAGGATGAGCTCGACGACCTCGTAGCGGCCGCCGCTGCAGGCGAGCGACAGCGGCGTGTCCTTGGTGCGCTCGGACTGCGCCTCGATGTCGGCGCGTGGGTCAGCAGATGTATCCACCTATCTATATACCCGTGTAGTGCAGCCCCTCACCTTGTTGGCGCCGCGGCTGAGGATGAGCTCGACGACCTCGTAGCGGCCGCCGCTGCAGGCGAGCGACAGCGGCGTGTCCTTGGTGCGCTCGGACTGCGCCTCGATGTCGGCGCGTGGTTCAACAGATGTATCCACCTATCTATATACCCGTGTAGTGCAGCCCCTCACCTTGTTGGCGCCGCGGCTGAGGATGAGCTCGACGACCTCGTAGCGGCCGCCGCTGCAGGCGAACGACAGCGGCGTGTCCTTGGTGCGCTCGGACTGCGCCTCGATGTCGGCGCGTGGTTCAACAGATGTATCCACCTATCTATATACCCGTGTAGTGCAGCCCCTCACCTTGTTGGCGCCGCGGCTGAGGATGAGCTCGACGACCTCGTAGCGGCCGCCGCTGCAGGCGAGCGACAGCGGCGTGTCCTTGGTGCGCTCGGACTGCGCCTCGATGTCGGCGCGTGGGTCAGCAGATGTATCCACCTATCTATATACCCGTGTAGTGCAGCCCCTCACCTTGTTGGCGCCGCGGCTGAGGATGAGCTCGACGACCTCGTAGCGGCCGCCGCTGCAGGCGAGCGACAGCGGCGTGTCCTTGGTGCGCTCGGACTGCGCCTCGATGTCGGCGCGTGGGTCAGCAGATGTATCCACCTATCTATATACCCGTGTAGTGCAGCCCCTCACCTTGTTGGCGCCGCGGCTGAGGATGAGCTCGACGACCTCGTAGCGGCCGCCGCTGCAGGCGAGCGACAGCGGCGTGTCCTTGGTGCGCTCGGACTGCGCCTCGATGTCGGCGCGTGGGTCAGCAGATGTATCCACCTATCTATATACCCGTGTAGTGCAGCCCCTCACCTTGTTGGCGCCGCGGCTGAGGATGAGCTCGACGACCTCGTAGCGGCCGCCGCTGCAGGCGAGCGACAGCGGCGTGTCCTTGGTGCGCTCGGACTGCGCCTCGATGTCGGCGCGTGGGTCAGCAGATGTATCCACCTATCTATATACCCGTGTAGTGCAGCCCCTCACCTTGTTGGCGCCGCGGCTGAGGATGAGCTCGACGACCTCGTAGCGGCCGCCGCTGCAGGCGAGCGACAGCGGCGTGTCCTTGGTGCGCTCGGACTGCGCCTCGATGTCGGCGCCGTGGTTCAGCAGAATCTCCACGATTTTCTCGTGGCCCGCCGTCGCCGCCAGGATGAGAGGTGTGAATCCCTACGAAAACACCAATGTTGACTTCAATTTGTTTCATTAAAAAATTAAGTAATAAAAAGTTGATCGAAGCAGGATTTGACATCTTAGCAAAGGCTTTTTACTTAACGATGTGTAATTTAGGTCCCTCATACAGTATAGTACACTGCCCTCCTAACGCAAAGTGCAACAACTCGAGTTTTGGGTCAAATTGAGTTATATACATATTCGTGAAGAGCGTAACGAGATCTATATTTTCTTCTTAGACAGTTTTAACGTATCTGTTACGTAAACATCTTTTTTTATTTATCAAAACTGCAATATCTAAGATACTAACTTGTTATTTACTAATAAAGAACGCTATAACTTTAGTTATATTTGAATTGGTAATACTATTAAGCAACATTACTAACAATATGTGTAATAAGTATTGATATTCCATTTTTAGTAAGTAATTTATAAAATACTTTGTGATCTTTTACTTACAATAACTGGAATAAGTATAGTTGTCATGATTATAATTAGTAGGGTTTATAATTTGTTTTAACACATTACTAGTCATAAACGTAATAAGTACAGTTATCGCTCTAATACTTAGTAAAATTCATGGCAGGGTTTGACCAACCCCGAATTATGAACGCAATAAGTAAAGTTATAACAGTTATGTTAAGGATTGTCATAATAGTTTTGAAAACTTTACTTAATAATAATGCGATAAAATAAAGTTATTGCATTTATGCTTAGGGCGATAGGGTACAAACGGTATAGTTAATACCAAACACACTGCAATATGAATCCAAGTTATCGCATTGATGCGTAGTAAATAACCTCGGTGCGGGGTGAGGAGTAAGGAGTAAGTTGACATTTTGAGCAGCGAAGACCAATTAGTCGCGGGGCGCGGTCCCATCGAGCAGGTTATGTGTCCACGTGTTTCGCGACGAAATTTGCGCGGTAAGTTACGTGTTTATTTGGATTTACTTAGACTAACGTAAAATAAGGTGCATTGATAATGTAACTTTAATATTTAGGGAGTAATTTCGTAACCAAATAAGGTAAATTTACATGACGGCCATCTTCCGAAGTTACGAAAATCATAACCTCTTTTGAGTTAATAGTATTGGTGTTCGTTTAACGTTAGAAATCTAAATTAAATAGTATTATAAAATAAAAAGGGAACCCTATTAATGAGACTTCGCTGTCCGTCCGTCCGTCTGTCTGTCTGTCGCCAGGCTATATCTCAAGAACAATGATAGTACCTATTTTTATTGCCGCTGTAACAAAAAAATTCAAAGTTTCTTTGGAATAAAGTTAATGTTGTTCCGTTTTATTACTAAAGTTTCAAATTAACCCTGTGTTTTGTTTGTAGGTTTACAGCACAATGTCAAGAAAAGATAAAATTATGGCGTTGGCTATTTCAAATACAAAAAAATCAGAGTCTCTTGTTCGAGTGAAGCCAGCTAATACTATCAAAAATAAAAACTCTTTGAATACTTCTGATGATAAACAAGCTGCTCAAAAAAGTCCAATCTTAACAGACCTTAATGAACTATGGTCTCGCCCTCTGGATTTTAACAAATTCCCAGCAATATTTGAAAATCAAAATGAATACTGCAATTCACTTGATATAGTTGAAGATCTTGATCTATCATCTTTTACAAACAATATGTATGAAGACACTTTGCCATCTACTCGTCAATCTATGATATGTTATGAAAACCTTCCAGACTCTGACGATGATAATAGATCTGACACCACTGATTTATTTGACTCCGATGATAGCGTCAAAGATAAGGACTATGACCCTAAATCTACAGATTACAACTCAGATTCATCGGGCAACTTTAATGTAATAGTACCAAAGACCGTCACAGTTGATGCTGGCAAACATACTGACTCTGTAGAGACTAACTCGGTTTCATCATACGACTGCAATGAAACAAGACAGATTAGTATAATAGTTAATGCTGAGATACATGACGAGAGAGCGAGAAGAGATACATGGAATGTTCACGAAGTGAATAACAACAAAAGAGTTTTTAAAACTTACCATAATGTGATAGAAACGGATGATGATATAATAGAAGTAGAAAATGTGGATACTCAAAATATGCAGAATCAAATGGAGGATACTGATTTTGTGGAGTCTGCTAGTGAAAAGGGCGATATCGAAACATCATCTAATGTACCAGAGTGTGAAAAAGGATTGACGAAATTGGGTTTGCCGAGGAAGAGGCGTAAGTTTGAAGAGTCACTTCATGAACGAAAAGGGCAAAAAAAAGAAGCTTCAGATGAAAAACTGTCAATAAAACCACCATGTAATGATAAATGTCGAAAAAAATGTACAACTAAATTTACAGAAGATATGAGAAGTAAAATACACGATAAATATATAAATTTAACTTGGGAATCAAGAGGACTTTTTATAAAAGGCCACGTAGAGTCACGAAATGTTAGGACACGGACAACACAGAACGATGAAAAGAAAAAAGATCGAGCCGTGTCTCACTTTTACTATCTTTACACAGAAAATCGTGAAAGAACTGAAGTATGTAGACCATTTTTTTTGACGACGCTGGGTTACAATGCTCAAAATACCAGGCACATCTACACCGCACTCAGCAAAGACATTGATGACCAGAAAGATAAGCGGGGAGGCTATAAACGCACAGACGTAATCGATAAGGACATTATTAAAGACCATATTGCGAGTTTTAATCCATTGATATCCCATTACCGTCGTGAACATGCTCCCAAAAGGCTATATCTGCCTAGCGATCTAAACATCACATTAATGCATCAGTGTTTCATGAACATTAATCCTGAGACAGCTGTATCATTGGAGACGTATCGTAAAGTTGTCAAGGATATGAACATCTCATTTGCTCACCTTGGTAATGAGGAATGTGAAGATTGTGCTTTATTTAAATCACATGAAGGGTGTTCTGAAGTTGATTGTGAAATCTGCGCTAAAATAAGTGACTATGAAGTACACAAACTACGGTACACCGAATCCCGACAAGAATACCAAAAAGATAAAGATCAAGCTTCTTCCGACGCACAGTGCATTTACGTTTCTGTGGATTTGCAGAAAGTGATACAGCTTCCCAGAATGGACCAGTTTAAGGCCGCCATCTTTTGTCCTCGTATAATAGCGTTTAACGAAAGCTTCGTTCCTCTTGGCAGTAGTACTAGTGGGCCACATGTACCATATGCTGTACTTTGGAATGAAACAGTCAGTGGAAGACGCCAAGAAGACATTATATCCGCATATAGGTCGTTTTTCATACATCATCGTGATGTCAAACACTTTGTCTTGTGGGCTGATAACTGTTCCGCCCAGAACAAGAATTGGGCGCTTATGTGTTTTCTTGTAAACATAGTGAACAGCAATCTGGTGGGTGCAAATTCCATAACAATGAAGTTTTTCGAACCGGGGCATACATTCATGTCTGCAGATCATTTCCACCATCAAGTGGAAAAGGCTTTAAAACAAAAGGGAAAAGTGTATGACATGGATGACTTCGTAGATGCCGTCAAGATGTCCAATTCAAAAAAAAATACTGTTAAAATTATGCAGGTAACAGATTTTTTCAATTATGAGGATTATTCCTCCCAACACAAACTGAAAAATATGACACCGAGAGTATATTTACACAATATTATGACGGTAAAGGCTGAAAGAGGGGCATTCAATATCAAATACAAAGAAAGCCACGTAGAAAATGAATGGAAAGAACTCGATTTTCTACAGGTAAAAATGAAAAAAAATAAATCCCTGCCAAACTCTTCGGTAAAAGTTGCACCAAGAGGAATAGCAAAAGACCGACTACAAAACATAATTAAAAAATTGGTGCCTCTGATGCCTGAGACGAGGCGTCATTTTTGGATGAACTTGCCAGAAACTTACACTGACAACTAATAATATAGACTGATTTCGTTGAACTGATCTCTTTATGTACCCTAAGATCTCATATAGTGCCTTATTAATTATATAATGGTTGATTTGTAAGCCTAAATAATATATGGTTCCTATCTAAGTTAAGAAAAAAGTTTTATTTTGGAAGAAAAGTTTTATTTAGAAGAAAAGTTTTGATTTACATTTAAGCTAAATGTGATATTAGGTAGTTAGATACAAAACAATACCTCATTAACTTTAAGCTTTTACTGTTTGTTAACTTTTAAATGTGATTTAAAAGACTAAAAAGTAATTTAGAAGATACTTTTGTTATTATGTCTGTGAGACAAGTATTATTTTGGTTAACTTTACTAGGTTACATTAAACGTGATTTGAAAGGTTTGTATTTGCTAGAATTTTTTAATGGATACTATTATTGTGATTGAGATATGAGAAATAAATATTTCTAAGTACATTAATGTTTTTTTAATAATCCCTTGATATTCCACAAATAATCTGTTAAGCTGGTTTGCTAAAAACCAGCTTAACAAAAATATACATTATATGTGTTACTTATTAAAACTGCAATAAGTAATTAGTTATTGTGCTTAATTCAAGCGTTGATATACGAGAACAAACTATAATTCCTAAACATAATCACAATATCTTGATTTACTAACAATAAATGCGATATGTAGTTTACTTGTTACAGTTATGGTATGTAATAATATCATGCATGTATTGGGACTATCCTAAGCAGAAGTGAATTCATTCATTTTTTAGATATATATAAATAAATAAATAATAATAAAGTATTAACAAATAAGCTCAGTAATATTTTCTACTTTATGGTCAAGGTTTTAAGTCAATAGGATGCGTAATGATGGAGATATCGTCAAAACAACTTAAAAATCTTTAACCGCGTTTTTCTCGAAAGTAGCTTGAACCTAGTTGTTGCACTTTGCGTTAGGAGGGCAGTACAGCTCACATACGGTATTATTCAATAGTTGTACTCCAAATTGAGTAAAAATCAACGTGTGTATCGCCAAACCCACAACTCGGAAGGCTCGCGTGTAAGACGCGACGCGTTGATTTTTACACGCTTTAGAGTAAATCTATCGAATGATATGATGGTATGTGAGCCCGGACTATCAGATGTCTTTGACTCTATATAAACCCACGCGATCGAGATTATCGATGATCCTAATTTGGCAGATAAATCGGAGCCTTTAGTTGTGCAGAGATTTCGGTCGCACCACTGTCTATGTAAACGATATCCAAAATATCATCATCATCATCATCATCAGCCTATTAATGTCTCCACTGCTGGGGCACAGGCCTTCCCTATGGATGGAATAGGGAGATTGGGCCATGACCCACCACGCGGGCCCAGTGCGGATCGGTGGGTGCTAACGACTGCAGATGCAGCCGGGACCGACGGCTTAATGTGCCTTCCGAAGCACGGAGGAGCTCGAGATAGTAAATTTTTGGCCACCCATCCAATGACCGACCACTGCGAAAGTTGCTCAACTTCAACGATCGCAGCCGAACGCGCTAACCAGTCGCGCCATCGAGCTCCTCATCCAAAATATGACGTTTATAAATACGGCGGCGTCAGTTCCAATTTTTGCACATTCACAAAGATCCTTGCAGCACAATAGCATCAGGTGGTGGTGCGTGCGTGTGTGTATGCGTGCGTACTGTTATGAGCCTCGGGAAGAATGGCTTTTTAAAAAAAACAATTTTATTTATTTGGTAGGACGGCCGTCTGGTTAGGAAGTTGGATCGAGACTGCGGATCGTATGGATGGGACTGGCGGCTATGAGTACATAATGATGAGCTTGCAGTCTGTGCAAGGCAAGGGTGCATGGTGTGCTAAAGGGGATACATATACTATCTATATGCGTACCTTCTTGTCGCGGTGCTCGATGTCCGCGCCGCGCGAGAGCAGCAGCTCGACGAGGTCCTCGTGTCCGCCGGCGCAGGCCAGCGTGAGCGCGGTGTCGTGGTTGGAGTCGGTCTCGCCGTCCACGTCCATGGCGGAGTAGGCGGCGGGCGCGGCGCCCGAGCCGGCGCGCCGCCCGCCCGCCCCGCCCGCGCCACCCGCCCCGCCCGCGCCGCCCGCCCCGCACCCGCCCGCCGCCCCGGCGCCGCCCGCCCCGCCTGCGCCGCCGCCGAACCGCGTCTGCGCGCACCGCCCCTGGGGGAGACACCCATTATTCGACCACACGCGATATTATCGGATGGATCCCGGAGGCCTACTCTAATTTAACGAAAAACGAAATTTCGCACTTTTCTTACTATGTTTCCGGTTCGTTTTTGATTATAATAATATTCGGCGACGGAATATAGATTGAGGTGTAGATTTTCTAAATCTACTTAAAGAAAGCTCCGATTTGATAGTTTATCGTTCGAATTGAGTATAACCTTAAATTGAAGAAATTAAATTTCGTTTGAACTTCGTTATCGAAAGTTCGTTTCGGAGAAAGAGAGTAGACCCACTGTTCCGATTAGCACACAAAAATAACATGTCGGTTCAAACAATAAAGTCTGATAAAAAAAATATTGGTAAATTTATATGTAAATCTACTGATAATGATTAAAATTAGTGCATTCGGTGCCATGAGCGTTTAATTGTGCTCTACGTTATGTTTATTTAAAAATCGCTGTAACGTGTTAAAAACGTCACATGGATCTCCTTCGCTCGAAGAGCGAGATAGAAGATTTTTTTTGGTTGTCTCTCTGGTCGTTTTTTATCTCGCGCCCATTTTCTTTAATCTGTGCACTTTTGGGTAAGTGTGTTTCTGCCTTTATCGAGCAGTAGGCTGAATGGACATTGTTCTCTTTGCCTACCGCCCAGACAAACTAAGAAAAGAACTGTCACTTCACTTCACGACCAAAAATTTTACATAAAACATGTAAGAATCTAAATCGTAATTTTTATCATGATAATCCATTGGATTTCCAATTGTTTTTGATGATGTAACATTTTGCACCTTTTGTTCGGAACGGCGGGTATCGCATTCCAAGCTTAATTTGTTTAAAAAACGCGAAAAGCGTTTTTTTTTTATTTGGATTTTATAATCAACTTTCAACATTTCCCATGATGAGAAAGTGAACAGTCCCATGATGTAACAGCGACATCCCTTAAGTATTACAACACCAGACACAGCCACTACACAGATGCAACAAGTTCGGTAACTTTCCAAATTCATTGTTGTACCGGAACCCATAAGGTAAAATTTTCATTTACATCTTAGTAGCCATAGTATAATAAGTAGTTTCTAAATTTAGCAGTAACCCTTTTGGACTTAAGTAGTTTTGTAGTAAATTTAAATAAATCGACAACCCAAAATGAATATGGTTTTGATATTGTTCGGGTTGTACCGAAACTAAAATACTGATAAAATGATAAACTTGATAACTTGATAATAAAGTATATTTTGGTAACTAAACAATAACTTAAAACAATACTAGTTGATATAAAAATGATTGTTATGAATGAGTACGCGCACGGCTTACTTGATAGCTAATTGCGAACTAACTTGTAAGTAATTGACGATTATTGAAAATAATAAAATAAGGTCAATTAGTAAAATGATGAGCGGGCGAAATGTACGTAGCTTGCTCGTACAGATATCGCGTTGTAGATATTTACGACCTGTCCCGGAGAGAGAATGCAGAAATCGATTAATTTAAAAGCTAATGCCGTCGTTTTCTTTGCAATGACGATGACAAAAGACGACACGTCACTTAACATTTCCGAGTACTGAATCTGTAAGACTTAACACAACTGGAGAACGGTTGTGACACCATCACAGCTCAATATTCACATTATAACTTGACTCGTGTGAGAAATTCTTTTAATGAACGCCTATGTAAAAAAATAAATCTAAACTTCTTTAAGATAAGAGTAAGGTAAAACAAAAGTTTCAAGTACATATAATCGGAAATATGAAGAGTCATCTGATTCATATTAATAAATTTTGCACAATTGCATAAATTCTTCAAAATTAAGTACATCTAATTTAATTAATAACCAAAATTTATACTACAAGGATAAGAAGACTCCTATGTATGTATGAATATGTTCTCATTTAACCATCTAAGCGTAACTTTCCGTGCTTTGCTTTTACTTTTTTGGGACTTCATAGCCCCAAAAATCTGAAGTAATAATAACCATCCAAGCAAACGAGTACAGTAAAGCCGATCTCCAGCAAAAGTTTATTGAAATCATTCAATCAAAACGCATACATTAAACGTTGTTATGAACATCTTTCTCTACACACGTCTCCTGCGAGTCGAGTGCAACAAATGTTCAACTTCACAAGTTTCGTACATTTTATGTCAAAATTGAGACGTGAAACGTCAGAGTGAAAAAGTAATACTCCGAAAGTAGGTTTGGATTGCAGCCCCCGCTAGGGAGTCGATGAAACAATACCCTGCCCTGACGCGATTTTCACCGGGCTCGAAAAGCATAAACTTTGTCGTTGCAAACAAAAAGTTTTGTGTGGATGGTTTTGTTGGATATTGATACGTTTTCGTCGAGCGTTAAGGGCGAAACAAGCACTGGAGATATGGTGAATGAGAGCAAGAATGCTGACCTTGAGTTTTTTGCGTACGGCGACATTGGCGTTGGCGTGGTGGTGGGGGTCGCGCTTGGCAGGCGGTTGCGCGAGTGGCGCGGACTGTGGTAGCGCGGTGGCCGCGGCCACTCCCGCGGTGGTGGCCGCCGCTACTGTGGCTGTGGCTGTGGCCGCCGCCGACGCCGCGCCCATGGAAAGCGGCACCTGCACCGGGCCCGGCACCGACGCCGGCGGCACGAACGTACCCGACCTGTCAGTGCCGCACCCATATACCGCTTTAGTGTTGATGGTGCTCATTGTACGGTTTAATAAACCGCACAATATAATTACATATTAAACACATTTTATTTTTTAAGCATTAAACTGCTAGATGTTAAAAAATAAAGATTTTTTTACTAGAAAAAATCCACGCGGACCGGGCAGCAGTCCTGTGTCGAATTCTTTCTAGTGTTTCTCACGCTGCAATGCCTAAGCCTAAGAAATACTAGAAAATAGACACGGCCATTAGAGCCGCGGTAGTATAAGGGTCAGTGCATCCACCTGGATAGCGGAGGGTACGGGTTCGAGTCCCCTCTACTGCCTGTTCCGCGTGGAATCAACATACAAGTTATATTTGCAGCATTGCATTTCTACTTTAGTGTGTCGAATCTAGAACGCGACGCATAAGTCTACGTTTCAACCGCGACTCATTAACATTATACTTTATTTCATTAGTCAAATAAGTTTCGTGTGCTATAAACAGTATCTTTGTAATATTTACTTATTTTTCTTGTGCGTACAGACATCCCGTACATTTATGAAAGCGCGCTACACTTGCCGCACATTTTACCACTTTGGAAGTGTCACTCGCCCAAACTATTCAGTTTAAAAAAATGGTATTAGAAACCTCCATATCATTTTTGAAGATCTATATATAGATACCCCAAACGCATAATATGGGTTTGATGAAAAAAAAATGAGTTTCTGTTCTAAGTATGGGACCCCCAAAATTGCTCGTTTCTTATCTATTTTTGTGTGTAAATCTTAATGCGGTTCACAGAATACATCTACCTATCAAGTTTCAACAGTATATTTCTTATAGTTTCGGAAAAAAGTGGGTGTGAAATACGGACGGCCATGATGAATCTACAACGGTTTCGTTTTTTGCCATTTGGCTGCGGAACCCCTTAAAAACTAGCTATATATCATATCGCTCGTGAGTGTTAAAAGTGTGTATGTATAGAGTGCGTACCGGTAGTCGTCGTAGTGCGCGGGCGGGTGCGCCGCGGGCACGGGCGGTGGTGCGGGTAGCGCGTACCGCGCGGTGGCGGGGGCGGGGGCGGGGGCGGGGGCGGGAGTGGAGGCGGGGGCGGGCGGTTGCGCGGCCAGTCGTCGGGCGGCCACCGCGCGGCCCACCGCCTCGCCCGCCGCGAACGACCGCGCGTACCCCTCCCACACCACCTCGTCCGGACCCACACCCACACCCACGCCCACCGGCGTAGGGATACCCTGCGGACATTAAAGCTTAATGTTCACCGAGTTCAATTTAAACACGCTGAAAACACGTCAATTTTAGGCAATGCAGTTGTAACAAAAATACATTTCACGGACGATGAAGATAATCGCAGGGTCGAAAGATCGACTCAAAATCGACAGCATAATGATCTAATAAGCTTTTTAATTAATATTCTTTTTAAATCATCGAAATTGATTTATTTGTTGCGAGTTAAAAATTAGGTTTAAGTTTTAAGAAGCATGCCAAAATCCATACTGACAGCATTGCGAAAAAGACTATTTATCAAATTTTCAGTACGCGTTCGTAGGAAGGAAAGTCGGTGTTAAACACGCACCGTGTCGTCGAGGTGGTGGTGGTGATGATGGTGCAGGTGCTCGGGCCTCGTGACCCAGCCCGCGGTGATGGCCTCCTCGGCGGCGGCCAGCAGGCACTCCTCGTCGCACTCCGCGCCGGCGTCCGCTCCCGCCACCGCCACCGCCGCGGTGTCCGCCGCAGCCGCGTCCGCCGCCGCGTCGCCGCCGCCGGCGCACTTGGCGGACAGGATCTCGTGCGACTTCTGTTGCATCACCTGCGCGCGTCACGGCATCATTCAGAGCGTAGGACGTCGCCCGGCACCGCGCCACTTCGCGACACACACCACGCGCTCTACTACACCATGCTCCATACTAAACATGCCACCGAACCCGAGCCTTTGTCGCTCGTCGATAAAGAATAAAGTCTAGCCGAGAAAACCTTCTCCGTTCGGTAAAAAATCGTGTTGACAATCCACACAAATATTTTACGTGCAGAAAGATATAAGCTGCCACTCGTAAACCGGCGCTTACGCGCCTTTGCGTCCTTATATATATTTTAGACCAGCATGTATTCATACGTCTAATATAAAAATAATGTGCATAAAGCACTATTTCTGCCTTCTATCAAAATAAATTTTAAAGTCAATGAAGTCTCTTATTGTCATATTTATAAAAACTACATTTCTGTTCTTATTCATTCAAACTAGCTTTACCTTCCATTACTTTTGCATCTTGCATCTCATATAAAAACCGGTATACTTTACTGTGTAATCAAATTTTCCATTACTTTTACTGACTAAAATGATACTTTCAATCGGAACATTTTATTAATCTCTATTCATATTCCATGCTACTTTATTACTTAAGCGAAACCTTGAAAACTTTGTTTGAAAAATTACAATTGTGAGTCAAGATAATTAAACATTCAACGATTGAGGAAAGCTTTCAGAATTTTTTTATCCCGTCACCAACATGCATATCGAAACATTTTTTGCTCAATGAATAAGAAATTAACTGTAAATTTATCTTTTAATTATGATGAACGTTTGCGGCAATAAAATAATAAGCAATAGCATAATTCGGCATTTGGTTAAGAAACCACAGTAGTGTACGGGTGTGGATATGGGCGTCACCTGCAGCACCAGGGAGCGCAGTTCGTTGGGCGGCATGGCGACGAGTGAAGGCACCTCCCTCTGTAGATACGCCAGGACGGCGCCCAGTTCCCGCGCCTCCACGCCTCCCGTCTCCTCGCCCTAAAACGACGATCACGTCACGCAACATCACACAACACTCACACCAATCAGCCTAGCCCCAAAGTAAGCACTATAAGGCTTGTGTTATGGGATGCTAGGGTAACGGATAGAATACATATACTGTACATATATAAGTATATTTATATAAATACATATTAAACATCCATGACTGGAGTACAAACGCTCGTATTCATCACACAAACATCTGCCCCCACCGGGATTCGAACCCGGGACCTCTCGAGTCGGCGACAGCCATGAAACCCGGCGTACAAACCACTCGGCCACGGAGGTCGTTAAAAGTTTTTGTGTCTGGAAAATGCCTTACGTATCCTTCAACCACTGGGGGAGCGAGAAGAAGGTATGTGGGACTCCTCCCTGTCCTCTTCAGCCAGCCCTGGAGCTCGCTGATGCGAACAGGGCCCTACCTACGCCCTGAACAGGGCCACTAAAAATCCGACAATACTCCTGCATCGTCACCCGACACGCACTATGAGGACCGCGGTCGCCCTAGTGCGTGCCGAGAGGGCGGGTGTGGTCGCGGAACCCGTCTCCGAATGGCCACGAATCACACTCAAACCTAACATTCGATATCCAGACTATAGTGGGCAGCTTCAAATTAGAACTCGCCGGAAGTTGAATGTCTGATAGCAAATGGACATTGTAAAAACTACATTTTAGCCGAACATGTTATGTTGCTACGACAATACATTAATAAAATTACTAGTTGACATTTGACGACGCCATATTGAAGTAGACTACAAATTTCAATTTTATTGCAATGCGAAGTTCTAACCAGCACCTGACTGTTCATAGGAAGAGAACACGTTCGGAATACAACTTTCGAAATATAATAAAAAAGAATGAACAACTAGCGAGAAAGTATTCGTATCGCCCTCGTCAAAGTTTCTATGGAAGGAGCTAGTTCGTTGTAATGTCAGACAGGGGCGCTGATTTGTTTCCATAGAAACCTTGACGATAGTGATATGAATCTTTCTTGCTAGTTCTGTGTGCTTGAGGGTACAGTATACGTACCGGTAGTAACACAGCACACTTTATTTTAAACAATGACTGCAATCGCTTATTATTGAAGATCAACGCAATTTCAGGATTGATACATTTATAGACCGTCTATTCATGTTGGCCAAGCGAAGACTAATACAAAGGTATAGACAGCAGGTTTGTCTTGATTTGCCATCGCTCGGTGTTGCTTGCCTAATTTGAGGAGAAAAGGGGAGACCAACGTGTACCGACCTCATTCGGTGTTGCTTGCCGGCATTCACTGTCGCTAGCCAACATTAGTCTCACACCGTCCATAATAACTTGCATTGGTGTTTTTCAAATTTGCCCAACGTCTATCTATACGGTAGCATTTGCCTTGTATCCGTTTGTCTATGCGCGTGTTGTGTTACCCTGCGGCAACCGAGCTATATAGCATGGCGGCTTTAAATTATTTTGCAAATCCCATTTAAACTGGCTATTTCTACAATAGCCAGTAAATTATCCGTACATGCATGAAATAAATCAAATGTAACGGAATACGTAAATAATGAGGAATAGGATGTACTTTTTTTATAGTTAGGTAGGCAAATGGCTCTACCCCACCTAATGTAAAGTGGTGGTAAAGCTCAGACGCGAAGATAGCTGGTGAAGCAGTTGCAAACTGCCACACCAAACATCCTCGCCTTCCGGTCTGCAGAAATGCTTCCTCACGCCTCTCTTAAAGGACAAGGCAAAGAATTCCACTTGCGAATAGTACGATATAGAAATGAGACGCCTAAAATTGAGTACTGACCAGAGGCACATAGTGGTCGGGGCGCGGCTGCACGTCAGGCGGCGCGTAGTGCGGCTGCTTCTGTTGCGCCGCCAGCTGCTGCAGCTGCTGCTGCTGCAACTCCTGCAGCTGATGCTGTCATAACGGAATGCGTGTGATTGCATCTCTCATATTATTTTTCTTTATGAACACTATCAAACCTCAACCTCTACTTAGTTTTGGTCCAAAGCATGAACCTTAATTAAAGACTGAATACCTTTCACTGAAGATACGTTATTTAAGTGAGAAAAAGCTACATCAAATATAAAAACTCAATCACATAATTGGGTCTTCCGCTACGCTAATCAATTATATCTACTCAGTAACTATATATACTACAAATACAAACACGATAAATTACAACAAAAATGAATCTTCAATAAGGAATACATTTTGATGAATAATATTTAGAGCACTTTCAAAAAAAAAAAATAGGATATACCTATTTTAAACTATGACTTTGCTCATATTAAAGTGGCTATCTTATTTATCTATTATACTTCTCGCACACAAGACAGTTCCGGACGTAACGTATGACATAAATTTAGTTACTTAAGGTAATTTATCGGGTTCGTTACGCGCTGTCGCTGTCGCCTAGTGCACGAGATGGTTTAGCCTAGTGAAATGAGGATAGGTACAGGAGTAGAGGAGGTGAGGGCCTACATGGGTGACGGGCGGCCGCAGCGGCGGAGGCAGCGGCTGTTGCAGCGCCTGCAGCTGCAGGAACTGACGCCCCAGCCGCATGCACGGGCCCAGCAAGCCCGTCCCAAGGACCAGGGCGCGACACGCCTACGTTCACCGCACCACAACAAATCATGTACGACCGCATTATACTGACTGGCGAGCAGGCGGAGGTTTACCGTTTGAGGTACCTCTTTCGCTTTCTTGACAATCATCAATACTGATTCCGATAATTTGTTAGTTGTGCAAAGGAATTAGGAGTGAGGTACGATGGAGAATGCTTTACGAATGGTAGTTATTTGGGTAAAAAATGCTTGTCTGTAAAGTCGGTTTACGGACGATAGTTTTACGTGATAACTTCATCAAGAAACATTGAAGAAAAATTGCATAATTGCTAGCTCTGACGTCATGCGAGAAGAGTGATAAATGTGTAGGCGCCTGAGCTTGGGCCGATCGATCGTGCCTCTCTGTCGCTTGCACGCTCAGGTTAAGGCGGAACGTGATACTTTTTCGTGCGTACAGCCGGTGTTATAAGACTTTATCACGTCATAAATTGCGATTACTGATAAGTGTCCATCAGTCTAAAATAATAACCACCATCATAGGTTTCCAGCTAAATGGAGTAATAAGGCACCCAGTTTTTTAATTCCTAAGTACAACTACAAATACTTCATTCCGCTTTATAAATTAGTTACTCAAAGTTCTTAGTTGTTTTAAGAAGGAGGTGGTTAACAAATACATGTTATAAATCAAAATTGAGAATAGACTCAAGTCAATCAAGTTGATCAATTACCTGGTTGAGATTAGTAGCGAGTTGCTGCACCGGGAACAGTTGCTGGGGCGGCGGGTAGGGCGGCGTGGTGGGCGGGTGGATGGTGGTCACGCCTGCGTGTGACACAACACAAACATATTGTCAACAACTTATATTCATCACTTAACATGGCTGCTTATCGACTATCGTAACTCTCTCCAGGGGCACGGGTCCATTTAAGCTTCAATCGTAAATCAACTAGGGAGGCTGGAGTTTTCTTGAAAAGCAGTAACTTCTTTCTGAATGGTTATTAATTTATGGGTGCTAGAAGAGGTTTATATCTGTTTATTTTATTCTATAAGTTATTTTATATATTTATTTTAATCTTCAGATACACTTTGATAGCGGTACACTTTGATTAATTAATTACATTCAACGGAGTTATTTGCCATCAAAGATCATGACGATTTTGTATATATTTTTTTCAGTGCATGTGTACATTTCTTTTTAGTTCAATAGATGACCGAATATTAAAAACATTATGAAAGAAAATGTTATTGACCCATGTTCCTAAGAGAAGAACTGCATTCTAGAGTTTTTTTCTAAAGTCATATTTACATGTTCAATGATTAGTAAAATGCAAACAAACAATCTATGCAACATAAGTCGTTTCTTGTTAGCAGTCGGAAACTGATGACAAGGAACGAACACAGGTGTATGGAAATTAGTTATATTTTATGAATTAAAAAATGGTTTTAGTGATAGTTAAACGAGCTAAAGTGGTTCAACAACAAGCAAAAAAACACAATAACAGTTAAATACTGAACACGAGCAGGGTAGGATCATTTTTATGTGTCGAGGCGTATACAAAACTCGCTAGCGATGTATTTTTTTTAAATAATGATCGTTATTGAGTGAGTAAATAAATGTTGATGTAAGGTATGGGGTTAGACAGGCGACTTGCCTTGCGCGCAGAACTGCAGGTCGAGGGCGTGCAGCGCCGACGTGGCCAGCGTCGGCGGACCTTCGAACAACCACTCACGAGCTTACACCCACTGTCCGCTCACTTACCAATACTATACTATACTAGGCTACCTATCGACTCGACTATAGACGACCAGAACCGTGCTCCAAATATTCATCACTAGGCCTTCCCTGCGGATGGAATAGGGAGTGCGGGCCATGACCCACCGCGCGAACCCAGTTCGGTTTCGAGGGTGCTAACGACTGCAGATGCAGCCGGGACTAATGGCTTAACGTGCCTTCCGAAGCCCGGAGGGGCACCCATCCCATGATCGACCATTTGCGCCATCGAGCTCCCCTGGCTCCAAATACTGACATAAATATTGAGTTGGTGACAGTAATATTGAGCACGACAATATCATTTACTGAGACATTATAACTCCTTTTAATATACACTTCTGGACACATCTATTGGCCCACCTTAGAGTTTAGGTTTCGATGGCCCCTACCGAAATATGATTGCTAGATTGAACAAAAACTGTTGATGCAGTTTTAAACCATGATACATTTTAATATCTTTTTCGATCGTATTGTTTTAAATTTGAATTCAGAATACCATACGACATGGAGCCACGCCTAACAAGTCGGATATGCGCCTTGTTAAAGGCAATTGATTTTTGAATAAAAAACATGTTTTATCAAATAAAGGTTTAATTTAATAACGCGTGTTGCCTCCATGGGCATCTACCACAGCTCTCATACGATTAGGCATAGAGTTTATCAACCGCTCTATGAAATTTTGAGGAATCATCTCCCATTCCTCTTCTATGGCAGTTTTCAACTCCTGCATCGTCTGGGCAACTGGCTGACGAGCCCTAACACGTCTTTTTTGCTCGTCCCATGTGTGCTCAATGGGGTTCATGTCTGGGCTTCTGGCTGGCCAGTCCATAACTGTGATGTTCACATCCCGAAGATATTCCCTGACGATGCCGGCCGCATGGGTTCTTGCATCATCATGCATAAAAAGGAAATTTGGGCCCACATAGTCCGCGTATGGTATCACGTGAGGTTCTAAGCACTCACGAATGTACCTTTCAGCATTTAATGTTGGCAGCCGTGGTCCTGTAACAACCTCAAGTTGAGTTTTGCCGTTCGCGGATATACCGCCCCAGACAGTCCATGAGCCACCGCCATAAGCAACCCTCTCTTCAAAGCAGCATTGTGCGAAACGCTCTCCCTTACGTCGGTAGACCTTCTTCTTTCTATCATTGCCATGTAACACAATTTTAGACTCATCAGAAAAGAGTACACGGCTCCAATCTTGCTGTGTAAAATTTAAATGACTGCGTGCGAAATGAAGGCGGGCTGTTCGGTGGGCTCGCGTTAGTTTGGGCCCATTAGCTGGCTTGTGTGGTACCATATCGCGTTCTGTTAACCTTCTCCGAACAGTTCGACCGCTCACAGATACTCCGTGGAAGACGCGAATTTGTTTTTGTATCTCAATGGAGGTAAGGTGACGATTTCTCAAGCTGATCGTCACGATGAATCGATCCTGCCTTTCAGTTGTGACCCGAGATCGTGGCCTTCCTTGGCGACGAACAAAGCCGCCAGTCTCTAGGTACATCCGATAAACATTTCGGACCGCAGATCGACTTAAATTAAGTTGAGCACTCACGTTTCTTTGGGTGTGTCCGGCCTGAATAAGTGCCACAGCTTGGGCGGCGACTTCAGGTGAAGTATCCATAGATTATTTATATAACCTCACCTTAATGTTAAGAATAAGTAATGCTTGTTGCAAAACCAAAGATATCAATCACTTTTTCAAGAATTAAATCCAAGTAAACCAATAAAACCAAGTTTTCTTAGTATTCGATTGTTTGATATCAACAAACAGGCTCCAAATTGTCTTTTGTTTCTTTAAATTCTGTGTTCGAAATTCAAAAAAAGACTATTGAATGAAATTGTGAATGTGCCAGGTTCAAAACTGCATAAAAACTTTTTGCTCGACCTAATATAAAATTTTATGCTAGGACCAAATGAAACTGAAAATACAAGGTGGGCCAATAGATGTGTCCAGAAGTGTATAATCACGAAAAATTTCATAACCTCATAAGTATTGCAGACAAAGATGGAATTGTATAAGAGATTCATCAGATTCAGAACATGTGTATATGACATGTATTAAACTGTCATATACACATGTTCCGTTAAAAAGTAATCTTTATGATTACTTATTAACCAAATTAACCCGGTGAAATTCTTAGAAAGGAATATTTATACTATTCGTTTTCGAATCCGGTATTGAAAGTTCCAGCTCAGGTCTATTTACATAATACACTAACCAGATGGGTCGGCTAATTCGAGTAGGTTTTTCTCAGTCTCTGGCAGTGTCTCGTTGCGCGGTTGACCGGCAAGGACGTCTGTCCTCTGGAAATAAACATTCATATTTAAAAATCTTAATAAACATTGAAATAAGACTCCAACAACTACACAAATTCACGTTGAATACAATAAAAACATATTATTTATATGAACAAGATTTAAATGAATTATATTATGAGGAGAAACTTTTAATAACTTTAAATAGGTTTTAAATAAGCGTATCAACCACTATGTGTAATGATTATTAAATTATGAACAGTGAGAAGTTTACTTCCCTCACCACAACAACTATTATGAAAGTACGTCTAATAATACAACTAATCTACCAACAGGTTTCAAACATATCATTTATTAAAGTGGGACTCACATTGAAGTCATTTTTAATGTCTTTATATTTGTGTCTCTTTTTCTTGTTAACGTCCTTCCACGTAAAGCCGGGTGGGAGCGATACTTTAGCCATGGGTCCGTGGCGTATCTACACCGTGGGAAGCAAGCACAAAGGAGAATGAATATGAGAGAATCGCGGTCGGTGTGCGGGTTCAGTACGCAATTTACAAGATGGTATGTGATTGTGCGACAAAGCTGGAGAGGCAAACGTGTGCATTATGCATGATATATATGTTTAGCATGACACTAGACATAGTTATAATCCGTATAATTGGTGATGCGTGTTACAGAAGGAGAGGCGTCATAAGTCGATCAATTTAACTTTCTCATGGTTTTCATTGTTTTTGGGGAAAGAATGAAGGTGTCGAATGGGCAATCTTAACTTGGAACCCTTCTTTCCTTGTACCGAAAGCAATAATCTGACGTTTTCAAAAATCCATACATGCTCGTTTGTATACCTTAAGATCTATGTAAGTCATAATGTTACAAAAAACTTGAATTCAAATATGTGGTTTATCCATTCATCTTCACCTGAATCCAGTGACGAAATAATGAACAATATGGTTTCTCTTTATTGGCCAGCAACATGCTGTTTGAGCTTTGCTTAACTCTGTGCAACAATGATGCTTCCCGCATTCTAACGATACTAAGGCTCGTATTACAGAATGACAATCAAGTGTTGATCTTTACTTGAGTACAGTTAGAAAGGGAATAGATGTGCTATATATAGCGACATCCCCTTCTAACTGTACTCAAGTAAAGATCAACACTTAGTTGTCATTCTGTAATACGGGCCTAAGTGTAGATCTTTACTTGAGTACAGTTAGAAAGGGATGTCGCTATGTGCTATTCAGAGTCATCAATGGACTTTTAGGCAATCTGTAGGCATTTTCGTTTTGCACACGGAGTGCCCTGCGAGCTTACCGTGTATAGTTACACTAAAGGGTGCAGGTAAAGTAAATAATCTAGGGTCCTTGAAGAGTGGCGTGAAGAAGCATTTTTGCAGGTCGGCAAGTTGAGGATGGTCGGTTGTACCAGCTATCTTCGCTTTCGACTTAACATCAGGTGGGGTAGGGGTTATTTGCTTACCTGGTTATAAAAATATAAATAAATAAGGTAACGTTTAGTAACGGTGGGAGGTCGGGTGGTACCTGGTCGTCCAGTATATCCGGCGGGGGCGGCAGGTGGTGGTCGGGATGGGGTGGCGCGGCGCGTTGTTTGCGCGCGCACTTGTGCTTGCCGCCCGCTACCGTGGTGGGGGCCGCACCGCTCGCCGCCACCGCCGCCGCAGCCGCAGCCGCAGCGGCCGCCGCCGCCGCAGCTGCGGTTGGCGCCGCGCCCGCCGTGGTCGGCGTGGGGCCCGTCGCGTCAGCGCTCGCCGCCGGCGGTTGCTTTTTGCGACCTGATGTAATCAATATGCTATTGTAGCGACTAAATTTGTTAATTTATTTATTTATTCATGGAAAACAAACGGCAAGTTAAAACTAAGGATAAAACGAGGAGATGTAGCATCGATAAGCCTTATACAGTTTTCACAAATACAATTCAAATAAAATAATACTTATTCCAATCGAGGCCGTAGATTAATTTAAAACTATATAAAAATAAAAACACAGAAGTAAAAAATAAAGCCATACCCACAGAGACAATGGTGATAAAAATATAAAATAATTTAAATTAAGTTTTATTATTATTATTAAAAAAATCACTGTTCACAATCTTTTTGAAATAATTTTGTCTCGCCAGAAATACGTCCACATCACTCGAATAATTATTGTAGAAGTTTTGTGTTACTCTATTAAAATAAGAATTGTCTATAATTTGTCGAACATAAATTAGTATGAAATCGCAGATAAATCGTTCGTTACTTTTTACTCTGAATGATGAAATTGTATATCAGTATTACCGTTATTTCGTAAAAAAAGATCGGTTACTCACCGTCTGCGTGGGGCGCGCCGGGGGCGGGTGCGGGTGCGGGTGTGGCCTGCGCCGCGACATGCAGGGCGGGCAGTAGGGCCCGCGCGGCGGGCGCGGTGGGTGCGGGCGCGTGGCTGAGCCCCAGCGCCGCCGCCTGCGCCGCGCTCAGCCCCGCGCCCGCACCTGCCCCCGCTACACTCGCCGCCGCCGTCTCTGGCGCGCCGCCGCCTGCAGCTGGACACCAGTATCCACAGTTAACACTGATATCAATTTTTATATTTAAACGTTTAACAGAAATGCTTAAAATAAAAAGTACAATCAATTTCGATCAATTGTGTTTTATACCCTAAGTTCATTATGAGATCGGTTGAATGGTAGGATTTCAATTGCAATAGGCTATTTAACAAGTTTTTGAAAACGTTCATACGTTATTTATTTATATAGTGACTCCATAAAAAATAGATATTTAAAAATTTTGTTGTATATATCAGTAAAAAAACAATATATAAATTATGTTTTCAAATATGTCACAGAAACCTTTCTAACAAATATGGTATTTTCAGGCAGGATGCCATTACTACACTCTCATTAAAACACCAAACAGTATCAAATCATGTCACGTGTGGCCGCCCTTGGCCGCCTCTATGAGCGTGGAGGAGTTGTCCTTGAGCTTGCGGAAGGGGTCGGTAGAGGGCACTGACCTGGCTGGCGAGGCAGCAGCACGCAGTGCGGGTAGTCGAGCAGCAGCTGCACGACGGGCGTGTGGCCGCCCTTGGCCGCCTCTATGAGCGTGGAGGAGTTGTCCTTGAGCTTGCGGAAGGGGTCGGCGTCGCAGGAGAGCAGGAACTTCACCACGTCGGCGTGGCCGCCCGCGCAGGCCAGCGACAGCGGCGTGTGGTCGCCATTGCCCGTCATGCGGTTCACGTCCGCGCCCTGTCATTAATAATACATGTTATAATACTCCTTTATTACAAGTCTCTTTCAGCATCATTATTCCCGGATCAATATAATAGAGAAATTCCAAGTTAAGAGTATATAGGTGTTACTCGAGTTTACGTGCTCCAGCTTAGACGATATAAGAAAATTGGTTGTCTTTAAAGTCGGTGTACGGACGATAGTATTAGTTGATAACGTTATAAAGAAACATTGAAGAATAATTATGCCGCCCTCGCTCTCGTGCTCGAGGCGCGCGCCGGCCCGCAGCAGCAGCTCGGTGGGGCACGGGGCGCGGGGCGCGGGGCGCGGGGCGCGGGGCGCGGGGCACACATACCTTGTGCACCAGGAACTGCACGGTGCACAGGTGTCCGGCGCGGCACGCCTTCATGAGCGGCGTGCGGCCGCCCTCGCTCTCGTGCTCGAGGCGCGCGCCGGCCCGCAGCAGCAGCTCGGTGGGGCACGGGGCGCGGGGCGCGGGGCGCGGGGCGCGGGGCACACATACCTTGTGCACCAGGAACTGCACGGTGCACAGGTGTCCGGCGCGGCACGCCTTCATGAGCGGCGTGCGGCCGCCCTCGCTCTCGTGCTCGAGGCGCGCGCCGGCCCGCAGCAGCAGCTCGGTGGGGCACGGGGCGCGGGGCGCGGGGCGCGGGGCACGGGGCACGGGGCACACATACCTTGTGCACCAGGAACTGCACGGTGCACAGGTGTCCGGCGCGGCACGCCTTCATGAGCGGCGTGCGGCCGCCCTCGCTCTCGTGCTCGAGGCGCGCGCCGGCCCGCAGCAGCAGCTCGGTGGGGCACGGGGCGCGGGGCGCGGGGCGCGGGGCGCGGGGCACACATACCTTGTGCACCAGGAACTGCACGGTGCACAGGTGTCCGGCGCGGCACGCCTTCATGAGCGGCGTGCGGCCGCCCTCGCTCTCGTGCTCGAGGCGCGCGCCGGCCCGCAGCAGCAGCTCGGTGGGGCACGGGGCGCGGGGCGCGGGGCGCGGGGCGCGGGGCACACATACCTTGTGCACCAGGAACTGCACGGTGCACAGGTGTCCGGCGCGGCACGCCTTCATGAGCGGCGTGCGGCCGCCCTCGCTCTCGTGCTCGAGGCGCGCGCCGGCCCGCAGCAGCAGCTCGGTGGGGCACGGGGCGCGGGGCGCGGGGCGCGGGGCACGGGGCACGGGGCACACATACCTTGTGCACCAGGAACTGCACGGTGCACAGGTGTCCGGCGCGGCACGCCTTCATGAGCGGCGTGCGGCCGCCCTCGCTCTCGTGCTCGAGGCGCGCGCCGGCCCGCAGCAGCAGCTCGGCCACGTCGGTGTGTCCGTTCTCGCAGGCGTACGTCAGCGCCGTGTCGCCCGTCTGCGTCTGCGCGCACACCGCCGCGCCCGCGCCTATCAGGTAGCTGCGCGACATGACATAAACGCGTTGTTTACGATGCACGGAACATATCAAAAACATTCTATGACTAAATAAAACTAGTTTTTACGGGTTACCAAAATTGGGAGACCTTCCTGAGAAGAACCGGCGAAACGAACTCAAGAAAGGCTTTCTATCTCCTTCTTATGTTTTGCATAATTTAACATAAGAAGGAGATAGAAAGCCTCTCTTGAGTTTGTTTCGCCGGTTCTTCTCAGGAAGGTCTCCCGATTTTGGAACCGGTGATAGTTTACGGTAGTTAGGGTCAAATAAATAAACAACAACAAAAAAAAAATGGGTGCGTGTACTTATGTAGGCGCGTGAGAAGTTATCCTTCTTTGGCATCGTTTAAAATTAGTTTTTAATTGCATGCAAATAATTAATTACAATAAATACATAAAAAGTCTGGAAAAGGACACAGTCAATAAAGTTCAGTTTTAATTTGAAAAAATAATAGGTTTTTGGTTCTACTACACCAATGGTCAAGAGATGGCGCTGTAGTCTCCTGAATCGCGCTTTGGTTCCGTTGTTCCAGATTAATAAATACTGTTGATATTATAAATATGAATACCTATAACTGTTACTTTATTACAAAAAATAAGGATGTGGTTTTTGGTTCTACTACACCAATGGATAAGAGATGGCGCTGTAGTCTCCTGAATCGCGCTTTGGTTCCGTTGTTCCAGGTTAATAAATACTTTTGATAGGCCTTGACAATGCAGTCGTTAGCACCCACTAAATAGAGATTCTATTTCTATTTTGTTGGTAGATTTTCTTAATGTGCGGTAAACATACACAACACGGTTACAGTGATGCGCGCGCATCTTAAAATTTCACTCTCATCATTTTTTCATAACGCGTCTAAAGAAGTATAACTTCAAAAATTACAAACAAGAATTTTAAATAAAATACCTTTTTAAGTAAATTAAATAATAAATTCATACATAGACAATAAAATTTTAAAAATCTTCCAATGAAATAACCGAACGCTCAATATAAGTCTTTCGAAGGTAGCTCGACAATTTTAAATAAAAAATCATTATTCTGACGATGCAGACCTGAAAAGGCTGCGAAACGTCAATAAATAAATAAAGTTTTCGTGCATTAACCCGTAAAAACTAGTTTTATTTAATGAGTGATGTGCGTGAAAACCTAAGAAACAAATATTCTATAACTAATTTCACAACCATAATAATCCTCGCAGCATTTAAACATTTAGCGCATCTAGATATAGTTACCGCACGAGCTCCAGGTGGCCCTCCTGCGAGGCCTCCATGAGCGGCGTGGAGGCGCCGAGCTCGACGTCGGCGCCCGCCTTGATGAGGAAGTCGGCGACCTCCAGGAACCCGCCGCAGCAGGCAAGCGTCAGCGCCGTCTCCTGCGTCTCATCCGTCTGGGCGTTGATGGCCGCGCCCTGCCCCAGGAGTAATGCCACCATCTCTTCGTGACCTGATCGCCACAAACAAACTCGTTAATTTCATCCACACTAAAGATTGGTTTGATCAAATAATAAGTTCGAGCAACAGGGGCGATGATGAGATACTGAATAAGCCACGTTGATAGGTTTTCATCAAGAATTTTAGACTCATTGGAGAGTTTAATTTAGATACAGAAACGTAAATGTAAGGAGCTCGATGGCGCAAAGGGTTTGCACATTCTTCCTGCAATCATGAAAGTTAAAGAACTTTCACAATATTCGATCATTGGATGGATGATCAAAATTATCGATTATTATTTTGAATTCCTCCGTGCTTCGGAAGGCACGTTAAGCAGTTGGTTCCTGCTGCATCTGCAGGTCATTAGCCAATTTCGCAGGCTCCGCGTGGTCATGACCCACAACACGGGCCCAGGCTCCATGTTCCATCCATAGGGAAGGCTAATGATGATGACAGAAACGCAGCAGTGAATTATGTCATTTGCCGGTCACCTTCTCTAGCAGCCTCCATGAGCGGCGTGTACCCCTCGTCGTTGACCTCCTCGATGTTGGCGCCGCGCTCAAGCAGCAGCATCGCCAGCTCCACGTGGCCGCCGCACGCCGCTAGCGTCAGCGGTGATTCGAAGCTGTCCGTCGGCATGTTCACCTGTCACACGGAATACTACCACGATCAACACCAGAAACAAATGGACGTTACGAAATACAAACAAGAAAACAAAATCCATATAATAGAAGTTTCCACCCAGAAGATAACGTAGTAGGAAACATTGCGCGAGATCAAGAGTATGGGTACAAAAAACTCCTAGATTAGAGATCATGGAATCAGGAGAAACCCAGAGGTAAAGAGATAACATCAAAACAGCTCAGCAGGTAAAGTTTAACTGTAAAAAATAGTAATTTACAAAATATCAAGCAAATTTTAAAACTAGTTTTTAAAACTACAAAGAGAGACAAAAGTTTTGTTTTAGTGTAATAATATGAGATAAAAACTGAATTTTATTTTTGTATTTTTTTAATTGTAATTTATAAACTAATCTTTTGCCATCGTTATTAATTCCTTCCTTTTGGTTTCTGATAAAATAATAGGAATGCTATATTTATAGTTAGGGGATAAAGTCACTTGCGTCCGTAGGATTTACCACCTTTTCGTAGGCCCACCTACACGTGTCCCCTGGGTGGTGCAAAGCAAGTGACAACGCAGTCTCAGGCGGCGGTCTTAAATAACCTGATCCCCATAGTTTACTCTATGGCGAGGCATATAGTGACCTGCGCGCCCGAGTCGAGCAGCAGCCGCGCCACCTCGACGTGTCCGTCCATGCTGGCCTCCATGAGGGCGGTGTGCATCTCGTCGGTCTTGTGCTCGCGGTCGGCGCCGGCCGCCAGCAGGAAGCGCACCATGTCGAGGTGCCCCTTGTAGCAGGCCAGCGTCAGCGCCGACTCCTTGAACTCGTTGGAGTGCGTGTTGATGCCCGCGCCGTGCTCCAGGAGGATGCGCGCCACGCCCACGTGGCCCGCGGACGCGGCCTGCCGGAGAGCAACCGGTTAATGACGCAACACCAACGACACCACTATCACGCGAGTATTTTAAGAATACAAATCTCGATACAAGAACTCTTAATTTAGCACGAACCGTTATAAAATTTTAATAGTTGAATTCGATCTTGAACGCACGTCAAATGTCATTGTTGATATTTAATTCTCGCTGCGTCCCTTGCACATTGTGTTATTTCACATCAAAATTACTACTCCCTTGATTAAAGGTGAATCAGATAAAGCTCTTCATTCTAAGCGCAAGAGTAAAACTCCCACGATTCTAACTATAATAGTTTCGACGAAATCCCGGTTTTTCTTTTTTTGTACCACATTGAGAAAAAGAAATTTTTTTTTTTTTTGTCTAAACTATTGCAGTTATTTTATTTTTTACATTGTATTTCAAAAGGTATTATTTTTATCCATATTATGAGTCTTCTATGGCTGCCCTAGAGCTTGTAGGAACCGAGAAATCGGCGATTTTGTGATTTTAGTTTTTAATTTTTTGTGCTCATGATATGCAATATTAAAGCTTATAATTTAGTTCAAAATGTAGCTAATAATGTAGACTATCAACTCAAAAAATAACAAGCTTTAACTCGGTGGTATATCGGAAATATTAAGAATTTAAATTTGTGGGAAAATGTCCCACATTTTGAACACTCAATTTTGAAAACGTTGTTATGCTACTTTTTAAATATTATACTATAATAACTATATAAATACGTTGTTATTATATTATTTACTATTTATATAAGATTATAAATGTGTTTGGTATGTTTTAATATTGCATATCATGAGCACAAAAAATTAAAAACTAAAATCACAAAATCGCCGATTTCTCGGTTCCTACAAGCTCTAGGGCAGCCATAGAAGACTCATAATATGGATAAAAATAATACCTTTTGAAATACAATGTAAAGAATAAAATAACTGTAATAGTTTAGACAAAAAAATTTTTTTATTTCTTTTTCACGATGTGGTACAAAAAAAGAAAAACCGGGATTTCGTCGAAACTATTATAGTAAGAATCGTGGGAGTTTTACTCTTGCGCTTAGAATGAAGAGCTTTATCTGATTCACCTTCAATCAAGGGAGTGGTAATTTTGAGGTGAAATAACACAATGTGCCTTGTAGCGCTGCTGTTGAAGTTTCAAATCCAAAAAATCTCAATGACTTTTCACACTTGCAAACGTAAAGAATTCAATATTGGCTCATGCTAAGGGTAAAGCAATATCACAAAAATATTTTTAGAATACGTGTCTCAATATAAGGATTGGTTGAAAATTCAGGTACTGCCGATTTATTTGCAAAAAAAAAATGAGAAAACACGTTATTGTGACAAATGTGACGACTTCTGTTTTTTTTTATCTCGGAAATATAAGTCACAGCTCTGGTAATTCTAAAGTTCCTATAAAATACTATAATATAAAGGCTATAAGTACCTTATATAACAATGCTTAACTAAAAACATACCTGCTGTCTTCTGTTTTAAAGAAAAATTAAAATTAAGTCGCAAAACTATACTTGGTACCTATGGAAAACTGACAAGTGTAAATGAACGGCGAACAAATGGATATAATGCGAAGAGATGGCGCTGCCTTGCATTTTAAGGCTAGAGAGAATTCGACGCAGTCCTCGTGGCCGCCCGCGCACGCGTACATGAGCGGCGTGTTGCCGGACCCCGACACGGCGTTGACGTCGCGCCGTGTGTGTAGTGCGTCACACGGCACTCACCTCCATGAGCGGCGTGTGCCCGTTCTCGTTGTGGTCCTCCACGTTGGCGTTGTGGTCTAGCAGCGCGCGCACGCAGTCCTCGTGGCCGCCCGCGCACGCGTACATGAGCGGCGTGTTGCCGGACCCCGACACGGCGTTGACGTCGGCGCCGTGCGCCAGGAGCAGGCGCACTATGTCCACGTGGCCCGCGCTCGCCGCCTCCATCAGGGGGGTGCAGTCACCCTGCACACGGGACACGTTCATACATTTCATTACAAATACACCTAACCATTCAATAATGTTATCAGACGTATACTTTGTAATTCGCGGAAATTCATTTACAGAGTTACTAAAAACGCACTATTGAAGAGCCTTCGCTCTTCCCCTTCCCCTTTACCTCAAAAACAAATTATAATAGTATAAAAGATTTTTTTTTTCATATGATGCAATAAACAATATTTTTCATAATCTAAACATTTTCCAAGTTAATTATGCTAATTCTTTAGTCTACTGTTAATGAAAAAAAACCTCACCCAAATAGAAGAGGTACAGCAAATTAGTAAGTTGTCATTCTGACCTTGATGCCACGATCCTCGACGCTGGCGTGCATGGCGAGCAGCACCTGCGCGAGCTCGTAGTATCCGGCGGAGCAGGCGAGCGACAGCAGGGACTCTCCCTCCTCCGTGGTCTCGTGCACCGAGCGGCCCTCCGTCAGCAGCTTGCGCACCGTGCCCACGTCCCCGTCCGAGCACGCCTCGGCCAGCGAGGGCGCGCCCTCCGTGCCAGCGCCACCGGCGCCCGACGCCGACCCCGCGCCGGCACCGGCACCTGCCGCGCCCGCGCCCGCGCCGGCACCTGCCGCACCCGCGCCCGCGCCCGCCGCCCCGCCGGGCCCGACCGCCCCCGACGGCACCGACGGCGTCGTACCGGTCGCCGTCGATCCGCACTGAACTCTACGCCACAATACAACTCGATTAAAACCGCACGCTTCTACTATTACAAACGACGACAGTTGAATAACTAGACTCAGATAAGATCAAAGCTTCCAAAATCATAGTCGACTGCGTCTCGATCGTAACGAAAGCAGGAATCTTAAGACTACACCACTGACGTAACGAGAGATCTACAGAGCGTGACTCAATTCTCGGATTGTCATCATTGAAAAAAAAAACAAATTGTGAATTGAAATTTCATATTTCAATCTATTTAAATTTAAAGACCTGTCTTGTTATTTAGACATATATGTTTGTATAAACACAAATTCCTGTTAGAAACCAATTATTGAACCAGTTTGGCAGTCTATCTACTAGATAGTAGATGAGTGATTTATAGAGACGGAGTTGTCGTAAACATCTATTTATAAATCAGTATGCTGTGTATAAGAAAACCTAAGTTTTTAATTCACTAGTTAATATAATTAAAATTCCTTACAAGCACTTTAAAATAACAATGAATGTCTAATGTCAAGAAACAGATCTACTAAATTCAGTCATTATTTTGGTATTGGATTAGATTACTCATTGTTTTTATATCATATCAACTCAGCCACGTGCCTACCGCTGCGTTAGCTTTCATATGATAAGGCGATTTAAAGTACTCTAAATCTGTACACAAATATTTTCAAGTTAAATATTAACGGTAAGGACATGATCCCATTACTACTGAAATTTTGAGGATTCTGATCAAAATACTACGACAAATGGTTTTGGCAGTCCTCTTGTGATGTTAACTAACACTACCTAAATAAATATATAAAATATCAACAAATATTTCCAACACTCACACCAATAAGCCTAGCCCCAAAGTCAGCACTGTGAGGCTTGTGCTATGCGATACTAGGGTAACGGATAGAATACATATACTGTACTTAAATGAATATATTTATTTAGAAATACATTAAACATCCATGACAGGAGTGCAAATGTTCGTACTCATCACACAAACATCTGCCCCACCGGGATTTGAACCCGGGACCTCTCGAGTTGGCGACACCATGAAACCCGGCGTACAAACCACTCGGCTACGGAGGTCGTCGAATCTAAATAATTCTGATTTTATTACAAGTTCATAGATACTATAATTCGAGAAGACTTTTTTCCCAAGCTATTATGTAAAAGATATGTCATGAAATTAACAACAGTAACATAAAAAAGTATTAAACTATTGTACTCGTATGTCTTACAATATATATTGGTTAAATGAGACTGCTAATGTTGGATTGAAGCTAAAGAAAGACAAAGAATTCGTCAGCTGCTAACTTGTCTATCGACAGGCAAGATACTACAACTAGTAGTAGCAGGCGAGGAGCTGACAAACTTACACTATTGTTACCGTCCATCTATCCACACCAAGTAAATTCATTCAATGCCAAATTATTATGTTATATGATAATATTTGTTTGTTTATCACACATTTGATGGTCTTTCAACCCATAATCGGATGTATTTTGTTGTGGATCCAAGCTCTATTTCATGAGATTTACATACTTATTCTTGTGTCTGTCATATTCTGATATTTAGGGCTCCGAGTCAACAGGAAACCTGTGTCGGTCAGTCCAGTCTCCGTCGATATCGTGAAATTATGAAACAAAATGATGTGTAGGTGTGAGTGCGGTGTATATGCGCGCGAGTGAGTGGAGTGATGGTATACTGACGGCTTGTCCTGGTGGTGCGCGCGGTGGTGGTGCGGGTGTGGGTGGGGCGGCTGGTCGCTGCGCATGCGCGTGAGGGCGGCGGCCGCCTCGTCCAGCGCGCACGACACCGACGACGTGTAGGTGTGAGTGCGGTGTATATGCGCGCGAGTGAGTGGAGTCATGGTATACTGACGGCTTGTCCTGGTGGTGCGCGCGGTGGTGGTGCGGGTGTGGGTGGGGCGGCTGGTCGCTGCGCATGCGCGTGAGGGCGGCGGCCGCCTCGTCCAGCGCGCACGACACCGACGACGTGTAGGTGTGAGTGCGGTGTATATGCGCGCGAGTGAGTGGAGTCATGGTATACTGACGGCTTGTCCTGGTGGTGCGCGCGGTGGTGGTGCGGGTGTGGGTGGGGCGGCTGGTCGCTGCGCATGCGCGTGAGGGCGGCGGCCGCCTCGTCCAGCGCGCACGACACCGACGACGTGTAGGTGTGAGTGCGGTGTATATGCGCGCGAGTGAGTGGAGTCATGGTATACTGACGGCTTGTCCTGGTGGTGCGCGCGGTGGTGGTGCGGGTGTGGGTGGGGCGGCTGGTCGCTGCGCATGCGCGTGAGGGCGGCGGCCGCCTCGTCCAGCGCGCACGACACCGACGACGTGTAGGTGTGAGTGCGGTGTATATGCGCGCGAGTGAGTGGAGTCATGGTATACTGACGGCTTGTCCTGGTGGTGCGCGCGGTGGTGGTGCGGGTGTGGGTGGGGCGGCTGGTCGCTGCGCATGCGCGTGAGGGCGGCGGCCGCCTCGTCCAGCGCGCACGACACCGACGACGTGTAGGTGTGAGTGCGGTGTATATGCGCGCGAGTGAGTGGAGTCATGGTATACTGACGGCTTGTCCTGGTGGTGCGCGCGGTGGTGGTGCGGGTGTGGGTGGGGCGGCTGGTCGCTGCGCATGCGCGTGAGGGCGGCGGCCGCCTCGTCCAGCGCGCACGACACCGACGACGTCAGACGCCGCAGCACCTCCGGGTCCGCCAGGTGCTTGCCCTCGCCGGACAGCTTGCCGATACCTGCTGGCACACCAACGCCAAACACACATCACTCTAACATACTTATATCACTACTGCAACGTCGTTACCATGGACGTATCCATTAGAAAGGGGCGAGCCCGATATCCACGCTAGCAAAACATTTTTGCAAGTAGTCTACCCGCGACTCTGTTGATAGTATGTTTATGTAATATTACTTGTATAAGGTGTGTAGATAATTGTATGCTTAGGGTATAGTTTTATATAATTTTTGATTATAGTTATATAACTCTTTCTAAAAATTTAAAATTAAAATTTTGTTTTGATAATAATAACATTAGATACTGGTGTCAATTCTGGCATGATTCTCTAAACTTAAAACAAATTTTATCATCAGTCTCTCCTTTTCATTCTGTGTAGAGAATGACAAGGATACACTATTGTCAAATTTAAGTTAAGGTTTAGAGAATCATGCCAGAATCGACACACCACTGTAATATTAAAGAACATTAAGCCCGCTAAATCCACAGCTCTTAAATCAAAGCTAACAATGGTTAAAGCATTATTCTATCTCCAGTATGATTTTAAACAATTGAAAAAGATGGGATAATATGTTTGAGACAATTTGATTTAAGAATGTTAATTTTATTTTTATTTATAAATATTTTTTTAAGTAGTAGTTACAATAGGTATTTGTCTAAAATTATAACAACAAAAGCCCCTGTAAATTACCTCTCCACACTTACAGTAGAATACTTTTGCAGCCACACAAGATGGCACGGTATAATAAAGTAATGCTATGTTAAACAGTTTTCTACATATGTGAAGTGCCACATGTAAGTAAACTGATTTATAAGCGAGAAAGCAATATGTATTAGAAAAACATCGCAGGGGCCAAATTATGCGAGGAGCGTAAATCAGTTAAACAATTATTACGAACGCAACTAGTACTGCACCGATGCGTAGACGCGACGTCAGCTGCGTAAAATGATACGATACATATATCCATCAGTTGGGGAAAGGCGGCACGTGCCTCTCGCACGCATTGCACTGTTGTGTGCGTCGCAAACATTATCACTGATGTTTCTACCATTACAATTCAATTTCGCGTCGCCGTCGTTCAAAACAATACAATATTATAATTGTTAGCCTCAAACATTCGAACTGCGAGTAAAATGGAAAATTAAACATTGTATTCAGTATACACGTAAATTCCTAATTAATCACTCTTATCAGTTACTTCTAAATCGGTCAGACCCTGTTATAACAAAACTGATAAAATACACACATATTATGATCATTATCATGGCAACTACTAAACACTAACCCGACTAGAGTTAGTCCCAAGGACCCCTTTTTTTTTGTGACGAGGGGAAATGCAGTTACGCACCATACCGTGACGCTGACTAGGCGCACGGCGTGTGTGGGACTCGCCGGCACGGGAAACAGTGCCGACCCTACTCAAGCAGGACCAGTGCGGAAGGCCACACTGATCCTACTCCACTAAAACCCCCTGTACCCTCCTACGCCCATATGGGGGCGGTCTCAGGGCCGACGCACCTGCGTGCGCCACATCTCCGAGCACGCCCCCGGGAGTCCCAAGGACCCCTAGAGGAATAGACAATAAAAGCGCATTATTGCATAATAGTTATTTATTATACAAGAGTGGAAAGTTCCTTTTTAACCGCGTGCTCGATTTGGATGACCGAGCAAGCGAAGGATTCTAAAGTTGAATCACGAGCGCAGCGAGTGATTCTAAATTAGAATCCTGAGCGTCAGCGAGGGAAACAAACGAGCACAAGGTGAAAAATCTTTCCACTCGAGTGCAATACGTAACTTTTCATCCCACCTCAGCGAGGAAATGACAAAATGAAAAAGAAAACAATTTATAATGACAAAATATTTAAGCAATAAAACGTGAAAAACTAGAATGGCGCGAAGCACGCAAATAAAACAAAGAAACCAAGAAGGTTCCAAATTTAAATTTTTTCACAATTTAAAAAGTTCTAATCATAAATTTGGCACCATAGAGGTTACATTAAATAGGTTTAATGACGTTTTGAATTTACAATTATATTGAGTACTCATTATATGTGATGTTCTAAATTCAAATCTACTTTGCCGCTCAAGCGAATAAAATAGAATTTTCCAGCCAGATTTCGAAGCGCAAAATTACACTTTCCGAGGTGGTGGGATGAAAAAATATTTACCACACTAAACTTAACTTTTTAAGCTTTAACTACATGTAGGACTACTCAAAATTATCAGATTATAAAAAAAATCTTATTCATATTATATTCATTTGAACCTGCGACGTGATAAAAGAAATTCCATGTGTTTTTTTTGTCGATGTTACTACTACAGTTAAATTCGATTTATGTTGCATTCTCGGTGTCACTTTCCGATATCCGCAGAGTATTATATATTTTCTCTTTAAATCGGTAGAGTTTCGCAATGATTACGGTCCATTTAGTGACCATTTCACAGCAAGAACATGCGTTTATGGAAATCACTGTATTGTTACTAGGAGCGGCGCGACGGCGGGCTCCAGCGCAGGCCGCAGCCGTAGGTCGATCCGTATCAGTGATATTCATTACTGAGGTGTTAATTAGCCCCGCCCGCTCTATTGTTCAACAATCGATACAAATTTTATTTATTTTTCATTAATCCTAAGTGATATTATAAATGCGAAAGTTTGTTTGTTACGCTTGCACGCCTAAAACACTGAATCGATTATCATAGGTTTTGGTTTAGGTACAGATGCAAAGGTACATTCATACAAAGAAGTTCATACGCCGGCTGAGTTTCTAAATTTTCTTGAGCAATCGTGTGTACGGGTGTAGTTGAGTAAACTAAAATTTAAATTAAGTGTTCCAGATTAGCGGTATATTTCGCGAATATTAAGTATAAGCTTACGCGAAATATACCGCTTACATCCTGTATATGCATGAGAAGAACATACATCATAGAACAACACAACATCCTTAAATAATTGTCTATTTTTTGAAGTGAAACTTCTTTATCGGCGTTGGAAAAAAAATTACCGTCACATTTTTTCGGTTACGCGTCACGTTTTTTGGTTACGCGCCATCTTTTTTTTAAAAGAGCACTATTTACCTCATCCGAACAATTGCTCAACTCATCAACTTTAAAAAAAAAGTATCGACAGCAAATATTCGTGTTTCACACAAGGTAAGGTAAGGTAAGGCAAGGTAAGGTAAGGTAAGGTAAGGTAAGGTAAGGTAAGGTAAGGTAAGGTAAGGTAAGGTAAGGTAAGGTAAGGTAAGGTGTAGTTATACCCCTTTAGTGGGTGAGTTTTTGAAAAATCTTAGCGCACGCCTATATATATATTTCTGGAAAGTTGCATGTAGATCATTTTTCGAAAAAAATAAGGCCATAAAGAAGTTTCACTTCTTACGTGTGTACACTAGTACACGCACACATTTTTTTTGTCCATGATTTTATCTAAAAAGGATAAGAAAAATTAATAAAAGATGTTAATTAATTATGGAATCTGCACTTCGCGGGGAGGCAGAACATAACAGCACCTATAAATGTGTTTTTGTCTTTCTTTTTGCAATTATGTAACCTGCTCCAGTCGGCGGTTACAATTGATCAGTATTAGTTCACAAAATCCACATTAACGGGAGCGAAGCCTCGGGAAAAAGCTAGTACTTAATGTGAATGAGAATGTGTTCCTTCTAGCACGAGAAATCTCAGTTGCTGATTGTTTACAGCGTACTGTCAAATGAATAGTACGGTCGAATTAATTGATAAAAGTCACATTATGTTCACATTTTTCCGAAAAAAGAATCGAGGAAAGAATGGAAAGAATCAATTATTAAATTATAGAGTTCTCTTTTTACATTAAATAATAAGATTTTTCATACTTAATCAAGTGAATTTATTGGAAGCTAGCATCCGTCCGCGACTTCGTACGCGTAAACTTGAAGTATTTTGCAAATACCCCAGAAACCTAACATATTTCCGGGATAATTCTGTCTGATTCCAGGTCATCAATTACACTTCCGGACACATATCCCGATCCCCTTAGTGTTATAAGTTTGAACGGTACACAGAAAACATATAATACTTATGAAATATACATGTCTCTGTCTTTACTTATGTCGTAAAAGTATTTTTTTATTCCGTATGACTACATGCA